AGTTGGTGTTTTCTACTATACAGGGTGTCCGCAAAGTTGAGGTTTTCCTTTACACGACGTGTAGATCTTGAAAACATAAGCAATTTTTCTTAGTACCATATACACCAATGTCTTAGGGGAACCGAGATAAAGGGCTCTGCAACATCAAAAATATCTGAATACCGTCCTGTAGCCGCGACATCCCCGAGTGGCACTAGGACACTAGCTCAACCCGACGACAGAACTGGGTCGGGGTCAGTGTGTCAGGTCAGTATGCAACCTTCAACCGACGGTTACGGTCACGCGTGTAGAGGTAATCGCGTAGACAAGAATCCCTCAACAAGCACTAGAGACGTGGCTAGAGAAGTGCAAGTATCAAAAACTAAAGTGTTGCAAACGCTGCGTGAAGAGGGGCTGTATCCGTTTCACGTCCAACGTGTACAAGCCCTTCACCTGACGATTTTCCAGCAAGAGTGCGGTTTTGTGAGTGGTTGTTGCATCAACATGACAATAATCCGGACTTTTTGAAGTGCATATTGGTGACAGACGAATCTACGTTCACGCGTAATGGGGTGAATAACTTTCGCAACACTCATGTTTGGTCAGTAGAAAATCCGCACGCTGTCCGACGGGCACATTTTCAAAACATTTTCGGTGAATGTTTGGGCTGGCATGGTGAACGGTATGCTCATTGGACCATTTATTCTCCCAAATCGATTGGACGGGATGCAATACCTAGACTTTTTACGCAACATTTCATTTTCTGTTGGAGCGGTATGATTTCGGGCAGAGACGTACTTAGCCCTTCTCGTCAACTGGAGAGTGAGTACTTTTTCCTTTATTTTTTTTACTTGATCGCCCTCGTTTCACTACACATTACCTTTTTTATTTCAAGGGTAGTTGTTTCTGAAAAGGAAAACCCCAACTTTGCGGACACCCTGTATATTATCAAAATATTCATTATTAATATGTTAAACCTATAACACCCTGCTACATTTTTATTATTTGTGTTTGATAAGAAAAAACTAAGATTTCAATAGTTGGGCCAACTGAAGTGTCAAGGGGCTCGTATGAGCGCAACTGCCTGGATGGTGAACGAATTGCATCATTCCAATACAGCAAAATTTCCTGTGAAGCTCGGTCACCACCTCGGAGCTTTTGAACATCTCCATTGCCTTCGTTGAAGCGTTTGAACCAGAAATGCACCGTCAGCTTACTAAAAGCATCACGTCCCACAATATGCTCTAATTGACACTGACCTGCGGTAGAACTGAGATATTGTAAAAATAAAAATTTCAAAAGCACGCGTTGTTCGCGAACACTTATGGAATTTTTTATATCTGCTTTTGAACTAGCAGCCATAGCGAAGCTTGTATAATCGCGCAAAATAGAAAATCGAATAAGCTATTGAAAACTGCTCGGCATGCATGTCACGACGTAGACGCGCAACTTTGCTGCGGACTACCTAATAGTTTCAAAATGCCTGCTTCGCCCAAAAGTAATTTGTCTCTTCTTGTTTGTCTTGACTATTTTTAGAAACACTATATAAAAAGTCAAGACGAATACCACGCAATGTTCCCATCACGCGTAATTAGTCGTATCTGATATGGAATTTATTGAGATGTTGATCTCGCGAAGCGCATACTTAAACAGGGGATTCCAAAATTAAGTTACACCTTTCTGCTAGGCGTCGCCAGGCAGGCAACCTTTAGTGTAATGTTTTCAGACGGGAAGATTGATTACTGTACGTTTTTCTTCATCCTTCGCATACGCAAGCGAGTGAAATACGAGCGCGGTTCAATAAATACCCGCGTCAGAAATAAATTATTTCCCAACATAGTCTCATTTTAGAAAGATGCACTTTTCTCAACGTTCCTGCCAAAAAATAGGACTTGTCAAACTCTCCAAAATACGCGTCTCTCTCCGTTTTTTTTCCCACGAGCCATTTCTTCATGTTAGGGAACAAGAAAAAGTCACAGGGGGCCAGATCGGGTGAATACTGGGGGTGCAGCAGCACTTCATAACGCAATTCATGTAGTTTGGCGGCAGCATTTTCGCCAAATGTGGCCGTGTCTCCTTCGATTTTTTGTCGAAGTGGTCCAATAACTCACTGCAGTTGTCCAATGATCGTCGTTCCTTTTTTCTAAAAAATTCATGACCTTTCCATCTTCACGAAAATCACGAAACGCTTGTTACTCGAATGGCTGCCAAATCCAAACTGACATATCAATGTTGTGCCATCGTTTGATAGATGGCAGCACACAATCGTAACACCAACTTCCCTGTAATCTTGATCGGTGAATTTTAGAACAAGTGAAATACTTTTCAACAAGTGCTTAGGTTATCAACACATTATTCTCTGTTCAAGTCGCTTGGGTACTACCTGTTTACGTATTTTGTTAGAGCCATGAAAACCGATTAGTGTATTAGTTTTCGTTAAAAATTAAGTGTATAATTATCGTAAATCTATTTAGCTTATTCCATTGTCAAAAATAATAAAACCACGTCTACTTTCCCAACATAGTATCCTTTTAGAAAGATGCACTTTTCTCAACGTTCCTGTCAAAAAATAGGATTTGTCGAACTCTCAAAAATACGCGTCTCTTTCCGTTTGAGCTAATTTTTTCCCACGAGCCATTTCTTCATGTTAGGGAACAAGAAAAAGTCACAGGGGGCCAGATCGGGTGAATACTGGGGATGCGGCAGCACTTCATAACGCAATTCATGCAGTTTGGCGGCGACAACTCCGGATGAATATGATGGTGCGTTATCGTGGTGAAACAGCACCTTCATTTTCGCCAAATGTGGCCGTGTCTCCTTAAATTTTTTGTATAAGTGGTCCAATAACTCACTGCAGTTGTCCAATGATCGTCGTTCCTTTTTCTAAAAAATGCACGACCTTTCCATCTCCACGAAAATCACGAAACACTTGTTACTCGAATGGCTGCCAAATCCAAACTAACCTATCAATCAGTCTGAAATTTGTTGTGCCATCGTTTGATAGATGGCAGCACACGATCGTACACCAACTTCCCTGTAATCTTTTGATCAGTGAGTTTTAGAACAAATCAAATACTTTTCAACAAGTGCTTAGGTTATCAACACATTATTCTCTATTCAAGTCGCTTGGGTACTGCCTATTTACGTATTTTATTAGAGCCTTGAAAACCGATTAGTTTATTAGTTTTCGTTAAAAATTAAGCGTATAATTATCGTAAATCTATTTAGCTTATTCCATTGTCAAAAATAATAAAACTAAGTCTACTCGATCTTCTCTCTACTCTTTTTTTACAATGTTTTAATCAATTTATTCAAAAATAAAACAAACCTCATTTCATTGGACCACAAATATGAAACAAGAAGTAAAGTCGAGGATATTAAAACCTTTGTTTACAACAAAAAATGTAGGTCAAAGATGCTTCAGTTACCTCTCCACTAGATTTTATAACTTTTTACCAAGCCATAAAAAATCCATTTCAAATAAAAATAGATTCAAAATTAAAATAAAAAATTCTTATTAAATAATAATCGACATGAAATAGAAAAACTCACTAAAATGAAAATAAATTAGTATTTGAATATAATGTTATTACGCTTACCTTTATGGTTATGTTGTGTTTAAATGTATGTATTAGCTACAGGGTGTCCGCAAAGTTGGGTTTTTCCTTTTCAGAAACAACTACCCTTGAAATAACAAAGGTAATGCGTAGTGAAACGAGGGAGACCAAGTAAAAAAAAATAAAGGAAAAAGTACTGACTCTCCAGTTGACGAGAAGGGCTAAGTACGTCTCTGCCCGAAATCATACCGCTCCAACAGAAAATGAAATCAGCTGATGCGCTACCGAGCAGACGCACCATGCCAGCCCAAACATTCACCGAAAGTGTTTGTTGAAAATGTGCCCGACGGACAGCGTGTGGATTTTCTACTGACCAAACATGAGTGTTGCGAAAGTTATTCACCCCATTACGCGTGAACGTAGATTCGTCTGTCACCAATATGCACTTCAAAAAGGCCGGATTATTGTCATGTTGATGCAACAACCGCTCACAAAACCGCACTCTTGCTGGAAAATCGTCAGGTTGAAGGGCTTGTACACGTTGGACGTGAAACGGATACAGCCCCTCTTCACGCAGCGTTTGCCACACTTTAGTTTTTGATACTTGCACTTCTCTAGCCACGTCTCTAGTGTTTGTTGAGGGATTCTCGTCTACGCGATTACCTCTACACGCGTGACCGTAACCGTCAGTTGAAGGTTGCATACTGACCTGACACACTAACCTCGACCCAGTTCTGTCGTCGTGTTGAGCCAGTACCTTGTACCACTCGGTGATGTCGCGGGTCGCGGCTACAGGACGGTATTCAGATATTTTTGATGTTGCACAGCCCTTTATCTCGGTTCCCTTAAGACATTTGTGTATATGGTACTAAGAAAAATTGCTTATGTCCTGTAAAGGAAAACCCCAACTTTGCGGACACCCTGTATATTTAACTATGTTCAAAGCAAAAATTGTCATGAAAAATGTTTTTCCACGCACAAGAATTAAATTCTTCTGTGGTTTTATTACAGTTTATTTGCGTATATATGCATATTTATTTTCAATAAACTGTAATACTTTATACGTGAATAAACTTATATTATTATTATTATTCCTTTGAAAAATACTTTAGTTCACTCTATAATTGTCGTTGAAATCAACTTGATCTATTTAGCTTATTCCATTGTCCAAAAATAATAAAACTCATTCTATTACTATGTAACATAGTCTATTTCAAATTGAAATTGATTCCAACTTATCAAATTATCATAGATTTTTTGTAATTAAATCTTACAACTAACAGGAAACAGAACCAAGGATACAAAGCTTCGAACACCTTATGGCAAGCCTCTTCTATGATTAAACTAGGCATTCGGCTTCAGCCAAAAAATTGATCCTCGGATTGGCCCTAAAAATCAAATGATATGTCGGCAGAAATCGTCCTTAGGTTTTGCTTCATATTTATAGATTGCTTCATATTTCAGTGTTGGAGTGAAGAAGGTGATGTCAGCGAATCAGTTTGTCGATTTCTTGAATAAGACGCAAAGGGATCCCAGACTGAACGAAATTCTCCATCCATATGCGGACTGTGCTCGAGCCAAAGATATTATTGGCCTCTACGAACCAAACAAGTACAATGCACAAAAAGGACAGCTTTCGTTCGAAGGTAATATCATTATGTCGAGTTTTAATATATATATATATATATATATATATATATTTTGAGACGTGGTTATTGTCGTCTAGACCAGTTAGGTGAAAAATAGAGATTCCACCTTTAGTTGGGTAGATCGACAAAATTCAAGCAATGAGGACTTATACTTTATTAGCCTTTTGCTTTCAATGGACTTTGCCATCATCATCAGGAGCTGCAATAACATTAACAAGAAATAGCAACTATTGTGCAAACTGATTTTAAATTACTTACAATACTATGTGAGATTGTTGCTAAATGTTATTAAAGGTTACGTTGAGTCTTCATTTTTCACCTATATATATACAGGGTGACCTTGAAGTTGAGTCATTAATTTTCAGATAATGATTGTAGAAGGAAGATAAACCAAAATATGTGTGTAAAAATTAAAAAAAAAATGTTACCTTGTTTTATAAAGTATCCTCCCGACAAGTATTTCAGTGCGGACCTGTATTTGATCGTGCGGTCTTGGAGCACCGACATGCCCTCCCTGTGAGGTCTTAAGTCACCTGATTCACGACCCCTTTGTACTACATTAACAAAGGCACGAGGGGTTGGTTGCACTCGATCCGCATAAATCCGTGATGCCGCGTAAATAAGAATCATGTCCACAAGTTCAGCATTTTCGTAAACATGTGCCATTTTTTATTTCGTTTGAGCCACGCAACAGAAACCACTATTCACTCACGCGTTACCGACTGACACTGACTGTATACAACTGAATAAAATAATTGTAAAACCATCGTTCCAAATTCTTTCGCTTTTTTGTTTCCGATGCGATGAACCGATAAGGCGGATTATATCCGTTATTGCCAAACACGAGCACATAATATTATTATTGAGACAGGGCGGTACTCAAACTTCCAAAGGGCTATAACTTTGTTACTTTAATTTTACCAGAAAAATGGTAAAGGAAAAAAACATTTCTTTTGATCAGATCTACTCACTGTTAAAATAAATGACTCAACTTCGAAGTCACCCTGTATATATATATATAGAGAGACAGAAAATGATCATGCGGAGAAAGGTATATAACAAAAAATATGAAAATAATGGGCAAAATCCGCAAAAAGATGCCTGATGAAGCCAACCAGCAGAAATACGTATCGCTCGGGTTACCTATCCTATTTTCTGCTCGAATCCACTTTCCTTCTTTTTGCGGATTTTGCCCATTTTTTTCCTATTTTTTGTTATATATATATATATATATAAGAACAGCTAGTGATCAACTTTTTATAACTTTTCCAGGTTTCCTAAGGTATCTGCTATCTGAAGACAACAACATAATGGCTGCCAGTAAATTCGATCTAAGTCACGACATGGATCAACCATTAGCCCATTATTTCATTAATTCTTCGCACAACACGTACCTGACAGGACATCAACTGACTGGAAAGTCAAGTGCAGAAATGTACAGGCAATGTTTACTGGCAGGATGTAGGTAATTTGAACATCTTCATCCAACGGATAATTATTATATTCTCAGTGAAAATTATTATTCGTTGTCGTGTTGTGATTATACAGGGTGGCCACTGATTTAAATTGCGCGCCATTTTTTATACACGCGTTTCAGTAGGTGGCGCCGTAGTAGTTGTTTAAAGCAAATGTGTCCAATTCATCATGGAGCGCTACACGATCCCACAACGTATAATTTGAATAAACAGTTGAGACTTGCCAAGGTCGAGCCGTGTTCGGACTGTTCGTACTCCGGAAAATATCGAGAGAGTTCGTGAAAGTGTAGTGGAGCGCCCTGAGACGTCTACCAGACATCGTTCCCAAGAACTGGGTATAAGTCGCACTATTCTAAAAAAGACAAAATCCAGTTAACCCAAGAACTACAGCCTAGTGACCATGAAACTGGCCTCTAAGGTCACCTGATTTAACGACACCTGACTTTTTTTGGGGATTTTTGAAATATACAAGAGCAGCTGAAGAACAATATTACGGAAGCGATTGAAAATATTCCTCCAGAAACCCACCAAAAAGTGATGGAGAATGTAAGAATGCTCAGGTTTGCGCGGCTCTAGAGGCTGACATTTGTCTGATATTATTTTTCATACATAATTTATAAAAGATTAAGATGAATAAAAGGCGTATTTTACTAGATTTCACAAATACTCAAGATACAAACCAGTCAGTTGATGAAAAAGTAAGATTATTGACTGACTATGTTACATTATTGTTCGACATTCATGCTCCTAAAATGACCGTCATAGTTAGCAGGAGTTGTAAAACTCTGAAAAACATGAATATAGATAATTCCTCTTCCTTTTCACTTCCACCATCCTTAAGTGATCTTAATGAAATAAACAGGTCCTTCATGTCTGCATTTACTGAAAATAATGAATCTAATGCTCTTATTACCAGATATTACTCCAGCAAAATGAGTGATTCCAGCTTCACATTCAGCTTAGTTGGCCGAAGTGTTGTACTGGAGCATATATCGAAGATAAGATCAAATGCATGTGGTCCTGACGGCATGACCTTGTATATGCTCAAGCTTTGTATATCAGAGCTATTAACTCCATTGATACACATTATAAACTGTTGCTTAGAGAAAGGATATTTTCCTCGACTTTGGAGAGAGGCTGTAGTATGCCGTTTACCAAAGATCCCTGCTCCAACTGAGCTTGCTCATTTGAGACCTATTAGTTTACTATACATTCCATCCAAACTGTTAGAAAAAATAGTTAATGTACAGCTAAATCAGTATTCTAGTGATCAAAACATTCTCCCAGGGGCGGCATAATATGGGGTTGTCCAAAACGAACGCAGGAAAGTAAACGCATATTAAAACAAGAAAGATTGATATTCAAATCAAGTTGAGTACTTTATTTTGAAGGTTCATTTATACCATTTATGTATGAAAAATAATATCGCTCAAATGTTCACCACGACTGGATTTACAGACGTCCACGCGATGGTCGAAATTTTCAATGTCATTTTGCAACATGGTCGGTTCTATGGCATTTATCTCGGCAATGATGTTGTTTTTGAGTACATGGAGGGAGGCTGGTTTGTTGACGTAGATTTTGCTTTTCAAATATCACCATAAAAAGAAGTCCAAGGGAGTCAAATCGCACGATCTTGGTGGCCATGGCACATTTCCTCTGCGCGAAATCACGCGATCACCGAAGAAGGACTGCAATCGATGGATATTGACGTTGGTTGTGTGGCATGTTGCACCGTCTTGTTGGAAGTAAACATCGTCCATATCCATTCCTTCAAGTTGCGGCAAAAAATAGTCCTCTATCATCACGTGATATCGCTCAGAATTGACGGTAACGGCGTCCCCGGCCGCATTTTCAAAAAAGTAAGGTCCGATGATGCCTTTTGACCACAATGCACACCATACAGTCACTTTTTGAGGATGCATCGGCTGCTCTTGATACTCACGGGGATTTTCGTTCGCCCAGATGCGGCAGTTTTGCTTGTTTACCGTCCCATTCAAAGTGAAATGCGCTTCGTCGCTGAACATGCTTTTTGATGAAAAATTGGCATCAATTTGGCGGTGTTCAAGGAGCCAATCTGAGAACGTTCGGCGCGAAAAATGGTCGGCCCGACGCAGCTCTTGCGTCAATTGGATCTTGTAGGCGTCTACATTCAAATCCTTGTGGAGAATGCGGAGCAAACTGGTTCTCGAAATGCCCAATTCTTGGGATCGACGCGTTGTTGATTGTTTCGGATCGTCTCTCACACTCTCCTTCACAACAGCAATATTTTCCGGTGTGCGAACGCTCCTTGGCCGGCCAGAGCCTGGCAGATTTGCCACAGAACCTGTTGCCTCGCATTTACGCACCAGACGACCGATGGTTGTTTCGTTTGGGCAGTTGTTGCGACCGAAATGTTCGCGAAGCGCGCGAAACGTGTTTTTTATTTTTCCACCATTTTTGTAGTGCTCTTGAATAACTTTAATGCGGTCTTCAATCGAATACGACTCCATAGCGATCAATGGTAAAAATTCAACTAACAAAATGACATGTCGGTGACAGAAAACAAAGATGGCGTCTATGTCAAATTGACGTTTACTTTCCTGCGTCCCTATTGGACAACCATCTACAACCACTGCTCTTTTAAATCTTAATGATGAAATTATACGGTCGCTAGGTAAGAGGCATGTCACTCTAGGTATATCCTTGGATTTTTCAAAAGCCTTTGACACCATTGACCATTCACTTATGTGCGCAAAACTGTATCATTATGGGCTTAACCATACAGCGTTGAACTTATTTTGCGATTACTTAAGTCTTCGTAAGCAAAGCGTTATTCATGTATAAATCAATAACAAAAGATTATTAACTTCAAGACGAGGAAAAAGCTGGCTGAAAGTTTAGTATCAATTATCAGTTATGGCTTGATAGTTTTTTATCCATGCCTGGACTATTCGACTCAAATGCGCCTGCAGAGATTGCATAATAACTGTTGCCGTTTTGTCTGTAACTTACGCAAATTTGACCACATATCTAATAGTTTCAAGCTTTTACAATGGCTTAATATCAATTCTCTGTTCAAATATTTTCACCTAACAACACTGAATCGTGTATTATATTCTAAGAATCCTGTATATTTAATAGAAAAGCTGATCCCTAAGTCAAGTAAAAATAATGTCAATAGAAGACATCAAAACCATTTTACAAGGCCTATGTATGTAACATCACTCTTTTATAGATCTTTCACGTATAATGCAGTGTCTCTCTTTAACATATATAGCAGGAATATTGATATATCAAATACAACATCTTCTAGGAATTCAGCATAGGATCAATGAATAAATGCACTGTGATCAATTATCATTATGTTTTTTTAGTTAAATTCATAGATATACAATCGTTTACTGTATATGTAAAATGCCATATTTGTATGACAAATTAGCTTTAGAAAGGTTGAGTGTAAGAATAGCTGTGCTAAACTCCAACGCCAATAAAGCCGTTTATTATTATTATTATTATATCGGTCACCCTGTATGAGGAACCAGTTTCACCATGAGTTTCATACATTTCCATACTAACTTGGTTCTGAATCCTCTCCGTTGGTGCTCACCACCCTAAAGGTATCACTTTTTTTATATCTAGGTGTGTGGAGCTGGACTTCTGGAATGGTCGTACTGACGAACCGGTGGTTGTGCATGGTTACACTTTCGTACCAGAGATATCTGCGAAGGAAGCTCTGGAAGCAATCGCAGAGGCCGCCTTCAAGACATCAGACTATCCGGTGGTGCTAAGCTTCGAAAATCACTGTAACCCTAGGCAGCAAGCAAAGATCGCGAACTATTGCAGGGAGATATTCGGGGACATGCTTCTCGATTTGCCCCTAGAGAGTTACAAATTGGAACCTGGTGAGTATGCAAACACATTTGGCTCTTCGCGAACGCCGCTCTACTTCGATGTGTTTTGGACATGTTGAACAGTTGGCTGCTACCACTAAACCTATTAAAATGTTATGTTCTGCATCTAGCAGAAACTAATTCCTCACAGCAATACACACTTCAGAAACATTTTAAAAACTATAGTCACCGATCGTCGAACTTGGTCAGAACATATAAACTACGACAAGCACTTCCCAACTAACAATTATCACTCCTACTAGAGTTGCAAGAATGATTATACAGTATTCCTTACACAGCATTGTAATACTGTAAGAACAAAAACCCTCTTAGAACAGCTATACAAGCGGAATGGGCACACCTAATAGGACACTTCAGTCATTTAAGAGGTTGTATAAGGGCTGCAGGTAACAGTTATACAACAAAAGTGTAAGCCTCTTGCAGCCGCTATACCTGTAGGAGATTTGCGTCAGTGCAAGATTCAGTTTTTGTCAACTATACAACTATTCTGTTACGTGATTCTACTTTATTGCGTCCAAACTATTTCTTATGTATTGTACAGACGAAGTGAAGAATATATAACTATGAGCCGTTTTACACACAAGAGAATTACTCCGAAAATTATGGTCATAATTATTATATTATAATATTGTTGCATATGTACAGCCTTTAACAGTTACTAAACAACAGTTGTATAAGTACTTCCGTTGGGAGCAATTTGTTGGCTAAATTAGTAAATTTGTACAGCAAAACAACAAGGCTCGGATTTGTTTTATAAACTTTACCATGGATGCCACAACACAACCATTTTAACTAACGAGCAAATATGAAGTATAAAATAGTTGTATAAACGTTTATGCAACAGTTAAAAATTTGTCCTATAAGGTGTTGTATAACTATGCTATAAGAATATTTTAAACACCTCATTTTAGAGCAAATATGTTGCAGAAAGCAAATTTGCATTCCGCACAGCATTAAGCCAGCATTTTGGTGTTAAGGCAACAACAATAGAGAGCTGAACGGTTCTTTTACAAAAACCTTATAGCAAAACTTTGCTAGTTGGGTTTTTACACACACTCTCCTACCCTGTTTCAGGCAACCTCAAACCTTGAGGAGTGGGGGGAAGAGCTAGTTGCTATAAAATCAAGGAAGCCTTTAAATGTCATAAATTTTGTCAAGTAATTTTTGTCACATAATTTTTTGAGTGATTGTATATCACTATCAATTTTTGACTTAATTTCATTTATACAGGGTGGTCCATAAGTCCTTTGAAATTTCAAATTTGAATAAAATTTAACGGGTGAGCGTGAGCGGCGCGGGCGAGGTGGGGGCAGTATCTTCAGTGTCTGGGAATTCAGTCGCCATGGAGTGTTTCACTGGAGCGGATCGTGCTTTTTGTGTGCGCGCGTTTTATCAAAATAATGATTCGGCAACCATTGCGCGGCGTAAATATCGAGAATACCACAATTTACACAATTTTACAAAGTGTCCAACAGCTCAAACGATTAAGAACTGGGTTGCTAAGTTCGAAGAGACTGGTTCGACGTTAGATAAACAGCGGTGGGGTCGACCAAGGACAACTCGTATTGAAGAAAACATCAACATTGTGGCACAGTCTGTTCGTCAAAATCCTACCCAGTCTACTCGTAAGCGTTCCAGTGCACTAAACGTACCCAGAACATCTTTACAGCGGATTTTAAGGAAAGATTTACGTCTGCACGCTTACAAAATTTAGTTAGTGCAGGAATTAAAAGATAATGGCGCTATTCAGAGACTAAACTTTGCGAATGAAATGTTGAATCGATTTTCTTCGCTCAATAATGTGTTGTTCTCGGACGAGGCTCACTTCCATTTAAACGGGCATGTAAATAAACAAAATTGCCGTTATTGGAGCCCCGAAAATCCAAGGCGTAAGCATCAGAAGCCCTTACACAGCCCTAAAGTTACAGTTTGGGCTGCTATGTCAGCGCATGGCATGGTAGGCCCTTATTTTTTTGAGGACGACAGAGGTCGCGCATTAACTGTTACTTCGGAGCGGTATGTAGCAATGATAGAACAGTTTTTGACACCAGCGTTGCAGAATTTTCCAGGCTATAATACGCAGACCTGGTTTCAACAGGACGGAGCAACTGCCCACACCTCCAACACTTCTATGCCCGTCGTCTGTCAACTTTTTCCCAGCAAAGTAATTTCTCGAAGAGGAGACATTTCCTGGCCACCACGTAGTCCAGATTTGACCCCAATGGACTTCTTTTTATGGGGCTACCTCAAGAGTAAAGTGTACGACACCACTCCGCGATCAGTTGATGTCCTGAAAGAAAATATCCGAAGAGAAATGGCAAGCATTACAGTGTTGACTTGCCGCGCAGTCATCGACAATTTTAGACGTAGTTTATAATATGAGTGCCGTGATCGTAATGGATTGCATTTAGACGATGTGATTTTTAAAACATAATTCCCATTCAATAAAGATGATAACAAAATATAATAATTCTTCATAATGTAACTAGTTTGGTTTTATTCCTTTTTTTCCAGCTCAAAGGACTTATGGGCCACCCTGTATCTATGTCTTGCCAAACTATTGTAGCACCGTCAGCGAATTTACCATTTTTGTTCAAGTTTATTGCATCATTGATATAGGCGAAGAACAGGATCGGACCTGATTCGGATCCTTGGGGTACCCCTGCGCTTATATTAAATTTATTTGAAATATAATGTCTTGATAATTTTGCAATTTGAGATCGATTATTTATTTAAATACGTTTTAAATTAATTGAGTGGAGTTCTAGTACAACCATATTTTTTTTAATATATCATTATTTATAATATGGAGGTCAAGTATCAGATCGTGTAATGTATTATCTTCTCAGAGCTAGGCCTGATGTGTTCTCGTCGTTTAAAAGGGAAATGTTATGATAAATATATGATTTTGTCATAGTCGTTACAAAGAGAAAAAGTATCAACTAGTTTGACTTCACATTTTTCATTTAGTATACTCATGATTTACGTGATTGCAGGCAATCCTCTGCCACCTCCATCAGCACTGAAGCGCAAGATAATCATAAAGAACAAGAAGAAGCATCACCATCATCATCATCACAAAAAGAGCATCACTCCTTCTCCTGAAGCAGCAAGTGGTGAAATCACCGGGAATGGTGATGCTCTTCAACATGCTCCGCCATTACAAACCAGACAGGTAACTTCACATCGGTTCATAATATCTTCTCTCCAAGGTTCTAAGGATAAAAGATTTTGTTGCTTTCGTCAGAAAGTTATCACTTTGTATTTAGAGATATTTCGATTCAGTTTATTCAACAAGCACCAATTCTCCAAATTTGATAACTGAAACTGCAGACATCGGCAAATATCCATATTGCACAATCATTAATAAATATCAAAAATAGCGATGGTCCCAAATTTGAACCCCGCGGTACTCCCGGCGATGCTGTATAACGAAGAGACTCACACACACACGATCTAAAATATTCATATATTCATTTAAGGTGGCACTTCCCTTTCTTAGATATTTTTTCAACTACCTGTTTACAGTAGTATTCTAAATCCTTTTCATCTGATGGTGTGTATAGAGATGACTAAATCTTCATCTTCAATCGGAGCTTGTTAACAAATATAAGTGCCGCTTTGAAGTTGTGTGTGAATATTCCTCTTTTATGGAAGAATGAAACAAGTGATTACTTTTGTTCTTGTCACTTTTCCTTTTCGGAAAATCTTTGATTTTCTTGAAGTCTCGTCTCGCAGCAAGTTGAATCTTTGTGAGTAATTGAACAATTGCGCTACGATATTCGAAAAACGTACATTACTATACACTATAAATCAAGGCGGATGTGTTATCATCTTTTATTGCGAATTACTCACAAATAGGAAATGTTTGAATTTGTTTAGAAGAAAAAACGTAACCCATTCTTTTTTGCATAAAATTAACATTTATCTTCCGGAATGGTTTTCGATTCATATCGGCAAGGTAGACTAGTGTCTTTTGTTATAAAATGCCCTTTGGACTAACCCTGTATATTGCTCAAAAACAACTTGACCAATCTACTCCAATTTTAATAAGCAAGAATGTAAAATTACAGAAAACGGATTGTAGAAAAATATGTAACCGAATCATTATACAAAAATGACATTAATGCTAAATAAATCTTCAACAACAACAACAAAAATAACTTGTTAATGCAGCGAGAGTGGTCTAGTAGAGATGCTGGTTTCGTTGTGTGTCCCCTATGAAAAATACATTTTTCGCGGTCACGTTTCATTGACGTTTTATTTTAGGGTTCCAAGGAATCAACAGCTACTGAAGACGAAGAATCAACTAGCGAAGATGAGCCTGAAACGGATGCGGAACCTCCAATGGAAAGCATCGAAGCTGAAGGGGAAAATAAACCCGCACCTGCCACTGAGACTGAAGCTGGAGCTGAAATATCGGCGCTGGTCAATTACGTGCAGCCTGTGCATTTTTCTAGTTTCGAAAATGCCAAGAGTGAGTTATGACAAAAGTCATTTCATTTCACTAATAAATATACTAAGTGACATATAAATCCGAACACCCAGTTTAAATGGTTTTATTTTAATAAAAGTTGGTGAATGTATTTATCTTACTGTAAATAACAAGTGAAAAAATTTTCAGCCTTATCAGTTGGACACTCCGGTTTTTATACTGCTTTTCTTAATTCACTAACGCTCTAAAAATGAATATTTCAGCCGCAGTAAAGAATCAACGTTGGCGGATTTTGGTTCTTGACATCCTTTACGATCGGTTACGATGCCTAGAGTACGGAGACCTGTACGATTTCGTCAACTTAGTGAGTTTGATAGGGGCCGTATAGTGGGACTTCGGGAAGCTGGACTTTCTTTTCGGGCAATTGCAGTTATAGTGCAAAGAAGTGTAGACACTGTGGTTAGGTGTTGTCAGGCATGGCTTCGAGAAGGCCGTACGCAAAGAGCAAGGGGCACTGGACGCCGCCGTAGAACAACAGACCGTGAAGATCGCCGCCTAAGATTATTGGCCTTAAGGGACCGTTTCTCCACTACCAGGTCCATTGCAAATGAATGGTTTGCAGAACACGGAAGACCTATTGGCATGCGAAGTGTTTACCGACGAATGAGAAGTTTTGGCTTGTTTTCATACCGGCCACACTGGGTCCTCCCTTTAACTCGAGAACACCGACGTAATCGCCTTGAGTGGTGCAGACAACGGTCACTCTGGGATCAGGAATGGAACAGTATTGTCTTTAGTGACGAGTCTCGATTTTGTTTAGGCATGCACGATGGTCGTGCCAGGGTTAGAAGGCGACGTGGTGAAAGGAGGAATCCACAGTTTTTTGTTGAAAGACATGTTCATCACATTATTGGAGTTATGGTTTGGGGTGCTATAGCTTATGGTTCCAGGTCACCTTTAATCTTCATCAGAGGTAACATGAACGCGCAGCGTTATATCCACGAAGTTCTAGAACCCCATCTTTTACCCTATCTTGACACCCTGGCAGATCCAACTTTCCAACAAGATAATGCCCGACCACATGTTGCAAGAGTCACATAATGATGTCACATTGTTACCATGGCCACCAAGATCTCCCGACTTATCCCCAATTGAGCACGTGTGGGATATGATGGGTAGGAGATTGCTCAATTTGCAACGTCCTCCTCAGACTCTAGAAGCACTTCGAGAGGACTTGGTGGTCAAAGGGCTTTAAAGCAGTGCAATCATTTTGAAATTTTTATCATTTACTTATTATGCTTCATTAAGTACTTATACAAAATTTTATTAAAATAAAACCATTTAAACTGGGTGTTCGGATTTATATGTCACTTAGTATACTTATCAGTTGCATTAACTCATTTGTCATTATTCACATCATGCGTAAGGACTTGCGTTTTCTTACTTTGTCAACGTCTACAATATCAAACCATCATGCGGATTCTAAAGATGATCTTGCTTAGTGAAACTCCCCAATAATGTGAAAGAATAGTTCAGAAATAAATACGTCTTAAAAAAATCGAATTTCATTTTTATAACAAAACACTTCTCTCAGTCTGGTAATTTTGTGGTAGAAAATCAAAAAGTCTTCTTTCTACAATTGTGTCTTATTTTTACCTTACAGAATTAGGTTATTCAAAAGCTACAATAAGTTCAAAGCGGAAGTTAAACACTAAATCACTATACGGACATCGAATTTTTCATCCGTATCCAAATACAGGGTGGCCGATATGTAACTGACTGATTTATATCTTGAATATTTGTGAAATGAAATGAAATTCGCCCATTTTTTCATCTTAATATTTTATTGAAACTTAGAAATTATGTATGACAAATAATGATTAGTTGATAACAATGTTGATGATGGAAAAACCCGCATAATTAAAAACCTTCTTACTTTCCTTGACATGCATCAATTTAACAATATACCTAATATTTATGGCAGGATACTTGGTTTGATTATTAGTAAAGTTCACTGCACCGTAAACCGCAATTGTGCTCCTTTGGTAAATGAAGATTCATTCCACCCATCTTTATCAATCAGAATATCTGAAGTAATTGAAAAGCATCACGCTAACAGAACAAGTGACCATCATAAACGTTACAATTTTAAAAAAGCAGACTTCATCTCACTTTACAGCAGCCTGCTGAATACAAGCTGGGAGGTTTTGGTAGATATATATGACGTAAATTCAGCTGTGGATATTCTTTATAAAACATTATACAACATATTTGATGACCATGTACCACTTCATAAAGTTTTTCGTCATAAATATCCCGTTACAAGGGAAGCTATCAAACTTGTTAAGCATAAGTCAAAACTACACAAAAGGCATAAATCAACCGGAATCTTAGCTGATTACGAACTTTTTAGTAATACCAGACTGAAATTGAAACAGAAAATTAAGGAAGATTATCAATGCTACATTCAGCATATTAAAAATCAGTTAAAGCAAATCCTAAATCATTTTGGTCATTTATTCACAAAAAGAACAGAACCTCTATAATCCCAGCCAAGATGATTTATAATAATGAAACGTTTAGTGAATCTAAAAGTTGTCTAAGGTCTGTTCCAAAAGTTTTGGTAGGCTCTTGGCCAGAAAGCTAAGGTATCCTTCTCCTGACAACTTTGGGGGTAACTCGAAAGGGCCAATGACCTGATCGTCAAGAATACCCGCCCAAATATTTATTTTAAAACGTTGTTGGAAATGACCTTCACGAATGGTACGAGGATTTTCTTGGGCCCACGTGTAAGTATTATGGAAATTTAGTATCCCGTCTCGCGTAAAAGTACATTCGTCCGTCGCTAGAATGTTTTTAAAAAAATCGGATTTTCAATGTTTTTGTGCAAAACCACTGTCAGAATGTTAGTATGCGAGGATAGTCTTCTGGTAACAAGGCCTGGACTCGTTGTACATCGTAGTGATAAAGCAAATTTTCCCGTAGGATTCAAAAACAAAACAACACGCCCGATGCTGTGTTCGACAAAACGATAAAGTAATTTATCTATGCAAAACGATAACTAACCACTGTTACCGTTTGCGATCAATTGCCGGTTCGATAAGAGTGATGATGACCGACGCGCTGTTGTCATGTGTGTTTTAAATATTTAATTTAATGAAATTTACTTACTGACTTCAAATTTTGGCTTAACTTAGAAACACTTAATGCCATTTTTTGTTAATTAGCCAATTTAAAAACGTTTTAGATTAGATTATAAAAAATAGTAAGGTTGTGGTGATTGTGGTCGATATAAAGCACTTAAAGTTGTAAACTATAAAGTCATTTAGACAAAAATCTATTGACTTTGGCACCATGGGTCATATGAACTTTTTGACTTGTTTTGAATCCCCTATTACCCATTTCAATAATGTTTACACCCTGTATATGTTATATTCACCCTGTATATTGGCCACCCTGTATTAATTAGATGATATCCTCTTCTTGACAGTTTTGTTTGTCGTTTCCTTCCAGAAAAGAACCGCAGCTATGAAATGTCATCGTTCGACGAAAAGCAAGCGACGTCGTTGCTGAAAGAATACCCAATCCAATTCGTGAACTACAACAAACACCAGTTGAGCCGCGTATATCCGGCTGGAACGAGGTTCGATTCGTCGAATTTCATGCCGCAGGTGTTTTGGAACGCCGGATGTCAATTGGTCGCACTTAACTATCAAACTCTGGATCTCGCAATGCAGCTCAATTTAGGTGAGATTTACTGCAATCTACATGCAACTAGTTCGGCAATTTTTTATGTTTTGTCAGCTATCGTTGTCGTGATAAAAAAGCTACGAGCTTGTAGATACGAGTAATGAATGGGGGATAATCGCTACCTAGTTCAGCGGTTATAATAATAATAGCTTTATTGTCCGACAGTTTCCCATTTATCGGACAATTTATAAACATAATACAAAAGCAAAAAACAAGCGAAAAGAAAACAAATGCAAGACAGGTATAAATTTGTAACATGAGCTATTGGTCCGAATAAGCCTTAGCTGCCTTTAGCAGGTAATTAACATTTGTCGTAAATATATCACAGTAACATCCAATTCTGTTTAAGTTAGAGCACATTACATATAACGGTGACTTGAGAAGAATGTTTGTCCTAGCTCTAGGAAGCCCGAATATTTTATGATTGCGAGATGCAAACGTTGGAGTACGAAACTTGATCTGTTTCAGGATCAAGGGGGCAATCAATTAAATTGTTGATCATTTTGTAGCCAAATATTATTGAGGCACAGTACCTACGTTTTTTCAAAGTCAACATATCTAAGCGACTACATGGTTCCTCATTACTTGTACCTCTCTCTGGATATGTCCCATCAATCCTAAACAGAACAAACTTCATAAACTTCCGTTGTACCCTTTCATTAGCTGTGCTACAGCATTCATAGTAAGGGCACCAAATAATACTACAATATTCGACTTTGGATCTAACATAAGCATAATAGACTTTATGTTATGAAAATTCCTGCAATTCCTTACTATGAAACCATAAGCCGCCAATGCTTCTGATACTTTTTTATTTATATGCTGACTAAAAGTTAACTTTTGATCATAGATTATACCTAAATCACGTACATCAGCGCATCTTTCTAGCACAGACCCATCAATAGAGTACGGATATTCGCAAACATTAATTTTCCTGGTATAGCTGAATATTTTATACTTCCTCACATTAAGCTCCAACTTGTTTTCTACACACCAAGACAGCACAAGATTTAATTGGTGTTGTAGCTTGATACTATCATCAGGAGTATTTATCTGCGAATAAATTTTTAGGTCGTCAGCAAAGCATAGACGTTCACATTCAACTAAGTCACAGAGGTCATTAATAAATATCAAAAACAGTAATGGTCCCAGGTTGGACCCCTGAAGAACTCCAGAAGGTGCCAAGTAGGTCTCAGATTGGAAGCCATTATAGCTAACAAATTGTCTACGATCGGATAAGTAAGATTTCATGAAACCAAGTGCACCTAACTTATTTAATAAAGTTTTGTGGTTAATTCTATCGAAAGCCTTCGAAAAGTCGGTATAAATAACGTCAACTTGCTCATTACTATCAATGGCTTCCGAGAGGTACTGCGTTATTATAAATATGTCTAAGGTTATACGTAAATCGCTTAAGATGAGGTTAGCAGAGTATTTGAGAAGAAGAAAAGGGAATATTGTCGGTTTGAAGTACCAAATTTTTCCTAACATCAAATCGCCTTAATCTATCAAACCTTTTTTTCAAACTGGAGATATCACTGCTTTGGGACGCAACAATATGAGTACGTCACGAAATTAAGATTTGAACCCGCGAGCCAGAGGTTGCTAGCTCGACAGCAGTGCTTCTGTATTTACGATTTATCTTTCCGACTGTTACAGTGTCTGTCATTTTGCTTAGGTATATTCGAGTATAACTTCCGGTGCGGTTACCTGCTGAAGCCGGACTTCATGCGTCGGACTGACAGGCGTTTCTACCCTTTCGCCGAAAGCACCGTGGACGGCATAATCGCAGGCACTGTCAAGATCACCGTTATTTCTGGCCAGTTCCTCACCGATAAACGGGTCGGCACCTACGTGGAGGTCGAGATGTACGGCTTGCCCGCAGATACGGTCAGGAAGACGTTCCGGACCAAGGTCGTGCCCAATAACGGCATCAATCCCGTCTATGATGATGAGCCGTTTGTTTTTAAAAAGGTGGGGTAACTAGTTTATTTTTACTTGAGATAAATACATGGTGTTGAGGTAAAGCTATCGAAAGAAGAGGAAATATTTTGAATACAGTAGCGGACAAAAGTTTGGAAACAAATATTAACATTGTTATGAACTGTTTCATATAGGTACCTAAATTAAAATTGTAAAACAACAGTTAATATAAATATTAAAGTCTACCTTTGACGCCCATACTAATGCAAGGTTTATCAGTATTCAAATTCTCTGAAAATAAAAATACGCATTTATTTAAATACCAAAGTTTTTGTAACGACAAAGGTATGGAAACATTTCAGTTTTGCCGTATTTATTCGTTCTGTGATACTCTGATATTGCGTGCGGTAAATATTAACATCAGTGAGAATGGCAAAAGTAAAAGAATTTTCAAAAGATTTGAAGGACAAAGTAATTGAATTGTTCAGAAGTGGTGTCAGAAATGTTGACATTGCTCAAAGATTAAACATGAACAAAGGGACGATTTCGAAAATTATTAGTAAATATCAAGAATACGGATCAACAGCAACGCGGCCAAGGTGCTGAAGACCGAAAAAAATTTATTTATGTTTTGGATCACTACATTAAACGTTTGTCCCATGAAGATCCTCACTAGTTCTGGAACGGGTCCAGTTGTTAAAATTGTTGGGAAAATGGATCAAAAACTTTACAAAGGTATTCTTAGTGAACACATACTCCCTTTTGCTGAAGAAGAAATGCCTTTACGATGAGCATTCTAGCAAGATAACGACCCCAAGTCTACCTGAAAATTCGTAAAGGACTGCTTAAGACTAAAAAATGTTAATGTTCTTAAATGGCCTTCGCAATCCCCGGACCTAAACCCTATAGAACATCTCTGGGAGCATGTTAAAAGACATCTGACAAGAACAACTAGGAACGATTTATTTGATTATGTAAAAAATATTTGAAAAAATATCTCAACAGACGTCTGTTAAAAATTGGTGTCTACTATGAGCAGCAGATGTCAGGCAGTGTTGAATGCTACCAAATATTAGCTAAACAGTATTTTTTTAAATATTTTTGTAGAGTTATTGTATTTAATTTTGTAATAAAAAATATGTTTCCATACTTTTGTCGTCTCATTTTCGGTCATAAAATAATATGAAGTTATTTTAATGCTGCCTGTAGTACAATAGCAAACACAAATTGTATGACTGTAAGCAAACTATATGAGTAAAAGAATAGTGACTAATAACAAAGAATAAAAAATTAGCGCACTTTTTAAAAATTACTAAGAATGCTTAGAAACATTTGCCCGCAACTGTACACTCTTGAAAGAGTCGGCAAATAGATCAATAACTCCTCGTGGTGTATTAAACGTCGCCGTTGAATTAGAGTTGTCCTGGTATTCTGTTAGAGCTTCTCTTATTCCGAGTGTACGACCAGAACATATTCGGGTCGTTGATTATACGATCCTCAACCGACGACAAGTACTCACTATAAGCAACTCTAATTTATGTTTGTTTAACACTGTATTTTAAATGCCTTTCAGGTGGTCCTACCGGATCTAGCTTCAATCCGCATAGCTGCATACGAAGAATCTGGGAAGTTCATCGGCCACCGAATCCTTCCTGTTGTTGGTCTCTGTCCGGGTTACAGGCACGTCAGTTTGCGCACGGAGATAGGTCAACCTTTGCCACTAGCAACGCTTTTTCTGAACGTTGTGGTTAAGGACTATGTTCCCGACGGACTTTCTGACTTCGCCGAAGCTCTCGCTAACCCCATCAAGTATCAAAGGTAAAGAAACCCCAGCTACAGACATAGATTCGACATCATTGCCATCTTATTATTTTGTTATAGTTATTTGCCATCTTGTAAGGGAGAAAAAGGAGTTAAAATACTTTTTATTATGGAATTATATCTCAAATAAGGCCAGCAAAACATAAACGATTTTTTGAAAATTCGGTTTCTTCCGTTTGTTTCCAGAAGTACTCGGAATTTTTACAGGGTGTCCCAATATTCTGTAGACTTGGAAGTACCTCGTATTTTTGGACTCAGAATAAGTAGATTTGACTTGATTTACCTCTATGCAAAAGTGCTCCGATAGAGGGCTTTATAGTTTTCTTTTTAAAACACATTTTCCAGATATGTGTGCTCGTGTTTGGCGCCAACGGATATAATCCGCCGTATCGGTTCATCGCATCGGAAACAAAAAAGCGAAAGAATTTGGAACGATGTTTTTACAATTATTTTATTCATTTGTATACAGTCAGTGTCAGTGAATAGTAGTGTCTCTTGCGTGGCTCAAACGAAATAAAAAATGGCACATGTTTATGCGGATCGGTTTCCCAATCGAGTGCAACCAACCCCTCGTGCCTTTGTTAATGTATGTAGTACAACGGGCTCGTGAATCAGGTGACTTAAGACCTCACAGGGGACAAGACCTCACGATCAAATACAGGTCCGCATTGAAATACTTGTCGGGAGGATACTTTATAAAACATTTATTTAATTAATTAAAATAATAAAAAAAAAATAATTTTTTTTTATTTTTACACACATATTCTTCTACAATCATTATCTGAAAATTAATGACTCAACTTCAAAGTCCTGTATAAGGAATAAAAGTGGACCTAATATGGATCCCTGAGGCACGCCGGAACAAATCGTCCTTTTGTCTGAAAGTTGACTGCATGCCGGTGCTCCAAGACCTCACGATCAAATACAGGTCCGCACTGAAATACTTGTCGGGAGGATACTTTATAAAACAAGGTAAAATTTTTTTTTATTTTTTTTTTATTTTTAAACACATATTTTGGTTTATCTTCCTTCTACAGTCATTATCTGAAAATTAATGACTCAACTTCAAAGTCACCCTGTATATATATATATGACTTTTATACAAAAGCCAAAAGGGTTCGAGAAGGGTGAAAACTACCCCCACCTCTAGATAAATTATATCAGAATTTTTTCGCGACTCTCCCAACGATTCTGAATGTTTGAAAGATCGTTTTGTTTACTTCATTTTCTGTCTCCTATAAAAACATCTATCTCGCATAGCTTGCTAGAAACAAATTTTTCGGAGCTGGTTTCTGAAAAATGTTAAATTTTTTTGCGCCGAATTGTTATGTGCAGGAACGAAAATGGTGGTGATATTGAACTACTTTTATGAAAAATTTGCACTATTGCCTGTACTAAATAAAATTGTAATAAATAATATAATACTCGTTTATGTTCGCTAATTATACTTGAACAATTAACAAGATGCTTGGCAACCTCTTGATGCTCATTTTTTTTCTCGATAACTATCCGACATAAACTGTGAACACAAAAATTTGCTAAATAAGAAAAATCAGAGAGACAATTTCTAAAAAATTCTGCTATCATTTATGTAGGGTTGGGGGTAGTTTTCACCCGTCCCGAACCCTGGACAGTTTTTCGTAAAATTTAAATACTAGAACGTCAATCAAGTACCAGGTACTTCGATGTCCACGAAATATTAGGACACCCTACATATACCATTTTCTCAGTTAGCTAAGTGCACAACTTTGCCCCCATTTAACCGTCTTCGTGTCTCTTAACGGTTTCCGACATTCCAATGGTGAGAGTAGAATTTGTATCACCCCGTATATAGATGTACTATGGACTCTTATAATTTTTTCATGTCTGGTAATACATTTACTGGTCTCATTTTTATTTTAGAAACTGGCATTATTGTAGAGCACTTAATATACTCGTATGTTCAGGCAAAGAACTGAACATTGATCTATTTTAATACAATATATCCCAACATTTCTAAACTACTACTACTAAACTAAAATGCTTCGGTAATGTCAACTTTCGAAACTTTGAAACATTTTACCATCTCATTCTCAAACGTTTCTTTCACCCTCTGCTATTACGTGCGGAATGAGAAACATCTCCTTTTCTCTCTAAATTGACTGATCTTCATCAACGCATCATCGAAAGCTGCCATGTTATCCCAATAACGGGCGACATTTTGAACGCTTATTGAAATAAAAAGTGATATTTTCGTGTGTTTTTGTTTCCTATCTGAACACATTGAGATAAATAAAGATTTTTCTAATTTTCTTGAAAACGAATCGGCCGATTTTAAAAAATCAAACGTCAAAATGAAGGACTTCGGAAGACCTTTCAAACAAGCTATCACTCGATACCCCTTGCCACTTAAAATCCTTAAGGGGATGACCCAGGGGGGCAGATGGTGAAGTAGTTTGTAGTTAGAAAGTTGTCCCCCTTGACAAATCTTTTGACGTGTCTCGGCGTTTTTTCTTTTGATCAGTGGTTTACGATAAAATTTAACGCTCTTTCAATTTATTCCTTCAAGTGACCTGGAAAAGCGAGCCCAGCAACTCGCGGTGCTAACAGACGACACGGAGCCTCCAGAAGGCAACGAAGACCAGAAAGACAGCCTGACGAAAGCGGCCTGCAATGAAATGGCGAATGCAGTGGCAGCGGCTGCGGTGACTACGACCAACGGTAGTCCAACACCCAGGAAATCGATACCTACGGGGTCGATGTCCGTTGACATACAGGACAGCGAGTTAATACCCGTCATTGCCGCAGCTGCCGTATCCAGTACCACGACGGCACCGATTGTGGGCGATGTCAATAGCTGTAATAAACTCAACGAGGTTTGTATGCTTGCCAGAAATAAATGTGACATTCTTATCTATTACTAGCTGACCCGACATACCTTGTTGTATTAGCTATGAACTGGAATTAATAATGAATAATAAAAGGGTAAATATGTGGAATATACGTATAGGTAACTGTTTGTACCGCCATGTGGCTAGCAAAATACGTTGGCAGCGTCAACTTACCTTGAAAGTACGCATAAAATTGTGTCGAGTCATTGAAAATTGGGGTCAACGATCGATCGCTGCGAACGTGCCCGTGATGAACATATGAACGAGGTCGAATTCCATACATAAATGTTTTGAGTATACTTCAAACCAATAATAACATTTTCGAGATATCACAAATGGTTTGCGTTTTATTTGAAAAGAAAGTTGTCAAGTCCTTAATGGAAAACCGTTTACTTTAAGTTGCATGAGATTTCGGACTATAATTGAATGGATTAGTGTGTTACTTCCAACAATGTGCCTCAGGTGAAAGAAGAAAAAGAAGAGTTGATTGCTGAGCCCTTAGAGAGAATTCTTGATAATAAACTAGTCAGGGAGAAAAGGACAGAACTAGATAAGAAGCTGGAGGCTCTCCGCAAGAAACACGAAAAAAAGAAAATGTCTGTGACAACGCAGAAATCCAGCGATTTTTCGGAAAAACGATCCAGACTGGTGAATATGAAGCTTGTGAAGAGATTATCCAGTAAAAATATGTAAGTTCGTTATCATTAGTAGACATTAGATACTATCAATACGTTAATGAATAAAAATGATAGATCCTTGGTAATCTTGCCGCCTTACCGAGAATTAGGGTGTTGAATTATTATAATTTCGAGAAAGAATTAAATCACCGAAAGGCATCGCCTAAAAATTTCGTACCAATCGATCGTGCGAACAGTAAAACCAATACTTAGCAAAATTTTAGTAGCTCGAATCGGCAGATTTCGGCTCCTACAGAAAACGGTAAAGAAAATTAGTTTCTATGACGCTGGCTGTTTTCAAATATCTGCTTTATTTTTAAATAAGTTATTCCTTCATATTATATGAACTTTTCACTTGAGAAATCCGTTTTAGAAATAAAACTGTTTGAATGTTTCTGATGAATTTCGTCTAAAACCGTTCTATATTAAAAATAAGCTAAAGCTAATAAACTTTGACATTGAAAATTGTAGATAGTGTAGTAGAGAAATAATGTTCTCTTACAACATTCTTTGAAGAGTATTCTTGTTATGTCCCCAGTCAGTGCCATCATAGGGCATAGAACTCTGCAATATATATCATGGTAAGCGGACACTCAGGATCTAAGTTCACTCTTGTTATTTGTATATATACTTTTTGCTCCAGAAATATTGTCATTGTATTTTGAATCGTCGTCTATATTTTGAAAATGCTTTCAGAACATACTCTGAGATATTCAGACTTAAAGGCAGAATGTTTTTATGTATCGGTGAACTGCTCACAGCCTTACAAGTATTTTGATTCAGTCTTATGAAACGAAATGCTTGACATCACTGTATCTCACGTTTTATACTAATGTGTATTTCACATATTTCGAATTAGGGTATTCCTCAACAAATTTAAAAATTTCATTTTGCATAAATAATGAAAAAATATCCTTTTTTTTTGCAGAAATATAAAGTTTTACTTTAGTGAGGTTCATTCCATATTTTTGTGTATAACATGTAGAAAAATGACTTTTAAAAAACTAAGAAATGAGGGAATGACTGATAGGATGGGGGAATGATTTTTACAACAATTTGATGACGAATTTCAATAAAAAACATAAATATTCAATTTATAAGAATATGAACAGATTTGATTGTATATATTTTTTTATTATTAATTTCGGACCCAGGGACGAGATGAGGGAATGACTTTTACACAAAAAAATTAATCGTATTTTTTTTGGGTCAATATATACTAGGTGACATATAAATCCGAACACCCAGTTTAAATGGTTTTATTTTAATAAAATTTTGTATAAGTACTTAATGAAGCATAATAAGTAAATGATAAAAATTTCAAAATGACTGCACTGCTTTAAAGCCCTTTGACCTTTAATAATGTGTGGATGCACCCTGATGTGCTACGCATTCTCCAACGCGCCTAGGCATGCTTCTGATCAGGTGGTCAATGTCCTCCTGTGGTATCTCATTCCAGGCAACCACCAACTCCTCTGGAAGTGCTTCTAGAGTCTGAGGAGGACGTTGCAAATTGAGCAATCTCCTACCCATCATATCCCACACGGGCTCAATTGGGGATAAGTCGGGAGATCTTGGTGGCCATGGTGACAATGTGACATCATTATGTTGAAAGAAGTCTATTGTGACTCTTGCAACATGTGGTCGGGCATTATCTTGTTGGAAAGTTGGATCTGCCAGCGTGTCAAGATAGGGTAAAAGATGGGGTTCTAGAACTTCGTGGATATAACGCTGCACGTTCATGTTACCTCTGATGAAGATTAAAGGTGACCTGGAACCATAAGCTATAGCACCCCAAACCATAACTCCAACAGTGTGATGAACATGTCTTTCAACAAAAAACTGTGGATTCCTCCTTTCACCATGTCGCCTTCTAACCCTGGCACGACCATCGTGCATGCCTAAACAAAATCGAGACTCGTCACTAAAGACAATACTGTTCCATTCCTGATCCCAGAGTGACCGTTGTCTGCACCACTCAAGGCGATTACGTCGGTGTTCTCGAGTTAAAGGGAGGACCCAGTGTGGCCGGTATGAAAACAAGCCAAAACTTCTCATTCGTCGGTAAACACTTCGCATGCCAATAGGTCTTCCGTGTTCTGCAAACCATTCATTTGCAATGGACCTGGTAGAGGAGAAACGGTCCCTAAAGGCCAATAATCTTAGGCGGCGATCTTCACGGTCTACTGTTCTACGGCGGTGTCCAGTGCCCCTTACTCTTTGCGTACGGCCTTCTCGAAGCCATGCCTGACAACACCTAACCACAGTGTCTACACTTCTTTGCACTCTAACTGTAATTGCCCGAAAAGAAAGTCCAGCTTCCCGAAGTCCCACTATACGGCCCCTATCAAACTCACTAAGTTGACGAAATCGTACAGGTCTACGTACTCTAGGCATCGTAACCGATCGTAAAGGATGTCAAGAACCAAAATCCGCCAACGTTGATTCTTTACTGCGGCTGAAATATTCATTTTTAGAGCGTTAGTGAATTAAAAAAAAGCAGTATAAAAACCGGAATGTCCAACTGATAAGGCTGAAAATTTTTTCACTTGTTATTTACAGTAAGATAAATACATTCACCAACTTTTATTAAAATAAAACCATTTAAACTGGGTGTTCGGATTTATATGTCACTTAGTATATTTTTTTATTATTAATTTCGGACCCAGGGACGAGATGAGGGAATGACTTTTACACAAAAAAATTAATCGTATTTTTTGTGTCAATATATTATCTAAATTTTTGCTTTTAAAATATTAGTGTAGATACTTACCGAAATAATAAAAATGTTAAATTGATGATAAATCCATGCAACTTAGCATCAATGGCTCAGGACATTGATTTCTAAATTTGCTGAGAAATACCCATTTATTTTTGATGACAAATGTTCCGCAATAAAAAAATGTTCGCTGTTACAGAGTATCGTCCGTATTCTATACGGAATCACCAAGTGCGGAGCCTTTAACCAGCATGACTGACTCCCAGCCTCTGTGCGAGGGTCCTCCGACGGCAGCACCACCAGTAGGCATTCCCAGAAGCACCTCGGAGCGGCTGCTCGCCATAAACAGGGAGTTTGTACATCAGGAGAAGGAACTCAGAGAGAAGTACCACGAGATGATATATAACGCCGCCGAAAAGGTTCTCAGGGCCTCGCAAAACAATCAACTTAAAATGCTCAAGGTATTTTCGATCACATTAAACTCAATTGAAAGGTCTTTCGAAGTACTTTATTTTGACGTTTGATTTTTTAAATCAGTCCATTCGTTTTCGCGAAAATTATTAAAATCTTTATTTATCTTAATTTGTTCAGATAGACAACAAAAACAAACGAAAATATCACTTTTTATTTCAAAATGTTGCCCGTTAGGGTTTGCCAAATCTACAATTCGTTTAGAATTACTTACTATGTTCTTCCGGTTCGGCAATGGCTAGGCGACGAGTTTCCAGATAAATGGATAGGGCGAAGAGGGTCTATAGAATGGCCTGCTAGATCTCCTGATTTGACGTGATTAGACTTTTTCCATTTGAAATCTATTATGTTTACTCCCCAACCTGAAAGTTTGGATGAACTTCGCAAGTCTATTGATGTGTCTCGGCGTTGTTTCTCTTAATCGTTTTCGATAAATCCATGGTGGGAAACTGGGAAGTTTATAAATAAACACCCTGTACTCATAGTAGTAAGCAGTCATTATACCCTTGACATTGCATGTAATGTCATATGCAGGAACAATTCGAGAAGGACACATCCGAACTGATGAAGAAGCTGCAGGCAGATCACAGGGAAGAAGTTAAAGCTTTGGCAAAGAAACATAGAAACAGAGAACAATTTACGCGGGTGAAAAGAGAAGCAGTGACGGCAGTCGTAGGTAGAGGTGTGTCGGAAAGAGAGAAGCTGGGGCAGATATTTGAAAATAAACGAGACGATCTTCAGAGGCAACATGAACTTGTTAAAGACCTGCTTATCGAGCAAAGAGAAAAGGTAAGTAATTAATGTTTACAGTAACGTATCTAGACACAGACCGGCTTTCAAAATTCAATAATATATCTGTGGATAATTAACCAGAAACACGTGCCTGTATTATTTTTACATGTAAAATTACGGCTACTGGAAAGGACAACACAGTTTGTTCTATTGACTTACCTCGTGATCAATAAATCCCAGATGTACTATAATAATGTTCTAATAAACATTTTCCCGTGTGCTTCGTATATTTTATTGCCAGAATTTCCAGTCCTTAAAAGTATCAGAATATGCGAACAACAGCTCTGAATATGTTTACCAGATTTACACCCGATTCAGTATTGCCAACGTTACAGATTAATACACAGATGCCACTTACTGATCAGCTGTTCGCCTTAGTAGACGTCAAAATGCACTGGATGCTGGTGAAATAGGGTTTAATCATCATTTGAGAAAGTTCGACTGGGAATTTTGAGATGGCACGACCAATTTAACATACACTTACTAATGTTAGACTCAAAATTCCCAGTCGAACTTTTCCAAATGATGCCTAATTGAAGCTCATGTAAGGTGTTCCTTTAACAGGCATATCTAGCATATATCCTCATTCACAATCAATGCATTGTGCGAAATTAATCAAAAACTAGTCACGAATGTAGAGACTTGAATCGTGTTTCACTGAGTATTCAATCACTCCAAAATTAAAAGAGCGAATGTTCGCCTCGACGAGAGTGGTCTGAAAAGTTCCGACCTGACAAAGGTATAAGACATTTTTTCTGAATTTTTTTTTTATTTTTCAACATAGTCTCTTTGTAACCCTACACCCTTCTCCCAGCGATGCTCCTCTGTAACCCGTCCATAGTACTCGGCGTTTTCAAATTCACTAGCTTTTATTTACAAGTGCTGCCATATTCACGTTGAGGTCGGAAATCACTGGTCAACACTGGTTTTGCCACACGAACTTTGACAGCTAATTTTGTTTTATCAGTCTACCCTCATTATTACATGACAGCTGTCTATTAGCCTCATATTTGTTGTGATACGGTAATACTCATAACTAGTACTACGGCAGTAAATTAACAGAAACGCTTACAAGTAAATCCTTATAAAAATATTTGTTGTTGAATTTGAACACTTTTTTGTGATTTATTAACCCTGTGAATATGTCGAGGAAGTGTAATAATGATCCTAACTCTTTTTGTTATGTCTGCGGAGAACTAACATTCAAAAAACAACGACGAAATTTTACGAATCTTGTGTTAGAGTGTTATCACCAATGTTTTGGTTTTTCTGTCGCCCATCAAGACAAATCCTGGGCCCCTCATGTCTGTTGCATAACGTGTGTGAAAAATTTAACTGACTGGAAGAAAGGTGCACGACCTATGCCGTTTGCTGTACCCATGATATGGACTGAACAGCGAGATCACGTTTCAGATTGCAATTTTTGTCTCACAGACATAAAAGGTATAAATTACAAGAAAAAAACCACAGTTATTTACCCTAACTTATTTTCGGCTATAAGACCAGTCTCTCATTGTAAAAAATTGCCAGAACTAATACCAGTTGCAACTACGTCTGTTGAGAACAATTCACAACCGTCCACTTCAGGTGAATGTGTTGACGAGGACGATGACTTTGAGTTAAAAGGAATTGTAAACGAGCCACATTTGATAACTCAAGGAGACCTAAATGATTTGGTTCGGGATTTAAATTTGTCAAAAAAGCAGTCAGATCTATTAGGATCACGTCTAAAAGAATGGAATTTGCTACATCATAATACAAAAGTTAGCTATTTTCGAAACCGTGATCAACACTTCAGAATGTATTTTTCTCAGGATGGAGATTTGGTGTTTTGCAATAAAATAAATGAGATTATGAAAATGTTGGACATAGATTTTGATCTCTCTCAGTGGCGTTTATTCATTGATTCTTCGAAAGCAAGTCTAAAAGCAGTGTTATTGCATAATGGAAATAAGCTTCCGTCTGTACCTCTGGCCCATGCTGCAAATATGAAAGAAACCTATGAAAATATGAAACTTTTACTTGAAAAAATAAATTACAGTACAAATTCCTTCAAAATCTGCGGTGATCTTAAAGTTGTTGCACTATTACTTGGACTTCAGCTGGGTTATACAAAGTTTTGCTGCTTTGTATGTGAATGGGATAGCCGAGACAGAACTAATCACTATATAAAAAAACATGGCCTACACGTGCATCGTTAGTTCCTGGGCAAAAAAACGTAAAGTATTTGTACAGCCAAATAATCAAATTAGGATTAATAAAAAAATTTCTGAAGGCAATGGATCGCAATGGGAGTGGATTTTTGTATCTAAAAGAAAAATTCCCTAAACTAAGTGGTGCAAAGATAAAAGAGGGTATTTTTGTTGGCCCTCAAATTAGGGAGTTAATAAAAGATTCAAGATTTGAAGAGAAATTAAGCGATTTAGAAACATCTGCATGGAAGGCTTTTAAAAATGTTGTTTCAAATTTTTTGGGTAACCACAAGAGTGACAGCTACAGAGAGTTGGTTAGCGAGCTATTATTGTCATATCAAGCATTGGATTGCAACATGTCACTTAAGATCCATTTTTTAGACTCGCACCTGGATTTTTTTCCTGACAATTTAGGGGCTGTCAGCTACGAGCACGGTGAGAGGTTCCATCAGGACATTTCTAATATGGAAAAGCGGTACCAGGGCAAATGGAGCCCAAATATGTTAGCAGATTACTGCTGGACAATTAAAAGGGACCAACCAGAAGCTAAATATTCAAGAAAATCTTAGATTATTAAGTCATTTATAAAAAAAAATAACTTTTGATTTACGAGATCTGTGTTTTTTCTTAATATTTTAAATTACTCAATAGAATAAAATCCTTGTCTATCAAATTTTTTTAACTGTTTATTTTTTCTTACAATCACCAATTAAAGTAAAAAATATCAAAAAAGTCCGTGTGGCACGACAAAGTTAAAATTTTGTTGACCAGTGAAACTAATCAGACCACCCTCGTACATCGGACGCTGGGCAGACACAATGACACGACTGTGTGTAGAATTTACACTACCCATGTTGAGCGACCCGTATTTTCCATAAAAGTGATGTTTGCTTATACACGATACAGTCATTGTTATCTTATTTCGTGGGCTAGCAATTAAACAGCATTCATTCCGTACTGATGGACATCAATTTTTTCAGGCCAAGGCAGCGCTAGACAAGGAATTTGAAATGCGTCTGACCCGAGTAGATGCCGAGGCGAGCAGCACTCTTTAAAAGAGTTATCATGAATTCTGAGCCGCATCGGAGTTCAATGCGTACGAGTCAAAACATGCCCTTCACATTTCCATTTGTTCTGGAGAGAGACAGAAAGTGCGTAATTTCGTATACACGACAGTGTGGTATGTCAAAGGATCGCAGGAAGCCTGTCATATCAGTATGAACTTTAATGCCACCAGCTGAATAAAATTGTGGAAGCGGAGATAGGTCATTTCTAACTGAATCTCGTCCTCATCGAAACTGGCTTGGATTTTCGGTAGAACAATATAAGGGCAATTCACCATACAGTACATAATTTCCATGGTGCTTGAAAATCAAGCATAAACCTCAAAAAGATGTATTGTCATGAAGATAAGAACGTTCCTATGAATATTTATTTATAGATGAGGACACTCGTAAAAGTTCTTTGAAGGGTGAATAAAAATATGTGTCCTAATCCTATTATGGCTGACGGTAAAATTAAAACCTTTTTCAGCTGTTCCCTTAAGGTTGTGCTAAATTATCAGCGAATTCTCATCGGTTTTAAATGAAGAAAAAAATAATGTTACTGACGATTGACTAATTTTATTCACTCTTCATACATTATGATTCTTATCCTTAGGAGCGTTCTATGCGTTTAATTTTCTATATTTTCATACAGTTGTTAATATGTTCAATTTGTATTAACATGCGTATACTTACCAGTGTTACCCCTACGTTAAGTCTATAAAGTAATAATTGCAGTATATGGCAATAGTAGACAGGATCCATAAGCGATTGGAAATCCGTTGACATTCCACATTCCACCTTTTGACAATCAGATCTTAAAGATGAGCCCCGCAACAAAGCGTTGTTATTATTAGCAAAACTAGTAAAATACAGTCATACAACTATTACCATATTGATGTTTGTTGTTTCATTGTGATAGTAGAAGATTAGTATTCTTAGGTATGGCGAACTTCAAGCAAACGGATACTTCAGTGCACAATTGACATAATTTAATAATAATTTTAGTTATTGCATTAGTCATTCCTTGTGTTAATGTTGACTGAAGAATCTTTATTTCGGTAGCGATAAGTTTACTCTTACAGTGAAACTTTATATTAATTGGAAAACAAATCAGAATGAACGTGCCTGGAGTACCTGCATGTTTGATGTGTGTACTTAGAAAAGAAGTGATATATGCTAAAAAAATAATAGAGGCACAAAGTATACTGTAAGTGAATAACTACTCATAGCATAATACTTAAATAACTGAATTTTTATACCGAGTTATTTCGTTTTGTGTGTTCTGTAATCCAAAACACCACGCACAATTTATTTGATCGTTATCTCTACGCACCACTTTCGATGGCATTTCAGCATTATTATCCATGATGTATAATTTATTTAGCTACACATATTTTTCTCGAAAAACAACATTTACACATTTCAGACACATAATTTTCCGCCACATGTTCTACCAGAAATATATTGTCCAAAATTGCCGCATGTTACAGCAGAATAACCATCTTTAAGCCAGAGATTATTATGATTCTAACCTTCAAAGCCATACTATTCGTACGACTGATTATTTTAACCAAACATCATCCATAACACAACCTTAGTATTAATATGGTATACTCTGTACTTCAGTGTATTTGATTTGCTACCAAATTAGTGATCCTTCATTTTACTATTACTAAAAAAACTTGTGTATAAACATTGTTAAGTAGTTAGATTGGTGAAATAATTGCCACTAAATGAACATAGTTCTACATAATAGGATGGTCCATAGATAAAGTGGAAACCGTAGATTTTTAGTGTCGTGAGATAGTTAGCTCTTACTACCTTTTATCGTGCCAGATATAGAGGGTATTCATTTGAAAACTTCCCAACACTTCCCAACTTAAACCACTGATTAAAAGAAAGAACGCCGAGACACTTCAAAAGATTATCGGGTTGTTACCACATCTAATCAGATTTAAAAAAATCACATCAAAATAAAGGACTTCGAAAGACCTTTCAAACAAGCTATTAGTCGATACCACTTGTTACTTAAAATTTTTAAGGGGATGACCCTGGGGGGAGAGTGTGAAAGGGGCTGAAGTAGTTTTTGGTTAAAAAGTTATCCTCCTTGACAAATCTTTTGATGAGTCTCGGCGTTTTTTCTTTAAATCCATGGTGGCAAGTTTTCAAATGAACACCCTGTATAAAAAAGTATCCTTCGTTTCAATTGAGAACATCCTGAGCGGCCTATTTAATGTACGTATTAACAATTAGAATATTTCGGAAATGTATTCCAGACATATTCTGATTCAACATGGTTGAAGAGTTAGTTATAATGCAAGCGATATCAGGATCAGATTTTTCAATAGTAAAATTTTGAAGGTTTTTGAAATGTCAACAAAAGCGTATGTAATTAACATTGAAACAACAGGTTTTTATTCAGAACTAAACATTTCGTTAGAAAATCTGGCCTTAAGCGTACGCTTTTTGCCAGTTGCTGTCATTTGCTGCTGTCATACATCGTAGATCGAGACATATTTGTCGCCTTGTAACTAGCTCTCCATCACCGCGTGTTAAACTTGGACAGTCCGCAGAACAGTTTTGCGCTTTTGTTGTACTGTAATACAAATGTTATGAACTGATAATCCAACCAACCGTGAACAGCTGCTTCATGCTTCTTGGCAATCATTATTCGCGGTTAATCAGGAAGTCAACTTGTAGTTGCTTGCAAATGCGTTTTCAAGAATTTCGACAGGGCCAGGAAACTTACCAGAAGTTCATCATATATTTATGTTGCAACCCTGCGTCTGTGGTTCTTACCATCATACCGTCAACAACAGCTTTCCTAGTTAACTCATCTTCTGGTTAAAGTTAAGTACCGTTTTGCTATAAACATGATTTTGAAAAACGCTTTTTCATCTACAATTGTTCCTGAGACAAATGTGCGAAATTTAATTGTATTTTATGCCAATTTGTAATGCTGACTGTCCATGAGTTCACACCAGTTCATGTCGACACTGATTTTTTCCATTCTACGCTAGCAAGAAACCTGGTCGATCGCATAAGAGAATGCGACAGTTTTTGACAGTTGAGGTATGCTTATTTATACTAAAATTGTCTCTTAAACAAAAGTTATTCGATAGGCCAAGTTTTCTGCAGGTCCATTGCATATTTATTATCCTCTATTTGACCTCTAATTCTACTCTACTACTTGACTCACCCTAATGATCCTCAAAACTTATTACAGTTTTACAACATGTGTATGGCAAATAGGATGGAACTATTTGGAATGTCAAATATTTTGGGTAATTTAATTGTTCTTATGTTGTACCAGATTTTTTATAATTTGGCCTAGAAGGAATGATAAGTGCTAGAAAAAGTCGAAAAAGTATTAAATTATCTGCTAAGATTTATGTCGGCGATTTCATAATACTCGTGTACGTTTTTGTAATATCAAATCGATGAATTCGCGAGGTATGTAATAAGTGTGATTTTTAAGCATAACCGCAAGATTTTTTTATACCGTGAATGTTTATTAGGATTAAGTACGCTTCTATGTTGCTAAAGATGAGATTCCTTCGTCAAGATAACCGTATGATTCTTTTTTATGAAATTGTGACTGTGGTGATATTCTGATATTTTTATTTAGTTACTATGTTTGCTGATCGATTGGCTTTAGCAAAAAGTGTACTGTTGAACTTTCATAGAATAGCGTTAAGAAAGATATTACTAATAAAAGTCACATCGTAAAGGCGGCGACTAACTGAATCCGAGCGCTGTAATGTGATGTCCACATCGAGAATTACATTACAAAGTTCGCCATTTGAGTCCAGCGAATGTCCACTTGGAATGCTCGGCTCTAAAGTGCTCCACATTTGCTGCAGTCTATGTCGAAATATCAGACCTAGTAGCTAGAGCTGCGTTCATAATAATGAGCTATTGCAACCTAATAAAAAAAAAACGGTGGTGGCAGACAGATTTATTTATAGGAAGAGATGTAAATGGTGGTGCGACATTAATGAGTATCAGACTTGTTGCCACCCAACTCCTGGGACCACTCCATTAATAACGTGTGTACAGAGCTCTATATCACTTGTAATGTAACCATCAAAGGGAAACGACGTGAGGGGCTCTGTTCGGCGCTCGCTTTAGCGATTCACTAGCGAATTTTTGTATAACATTACAGCGCTAGGCTTCAGTCAGTTGCCGCCTTACGAGTATGTAAGTTGAAACAAGATTGGTACAAGACCAGCTACAAAACGTTTGCTAATTTTCAAAACAATTTTAAATGCAAGTGGGTACTAGTTATGTTTGATTTAACCAGGCATTTTTTTTTTAGTTTTGAATTAGTATTTAAGGCAGGGCTGCAAGAATACAACACGAACTCTGGATTCATCATTATATGGAAACTGGAATAACGCATGGGAAATATTGTTTTTCATAAGAACCCATGTAGAATTTTGATAATCCACAATTCAGCATCTTGAGGTGCTTATTGATTTATAAAGATGGATCTAAATATATTTTCTAACAAACACAAAGTGTCCCCAAAGTTCGGTTTTTCCTTTTCAGACACAACTATGCTTGATATAACAAAGCTAAATCACTCACTGTACAGTTGAATTGAAATTCCAAGTACGGCTCTGTCGTAAAATCCGTATTTACATCGTAGTCCTACGTCGTATAACTGTACGCTGGCGCTGGAACTGTGGACGTGACCGAGGGATAGAACAGGAGCGGCTTCAGCTTTGATTGAGTTTGCGGAGCCCAATATTTCGGTTCTCTTAAGACACGTCGTGTAAAGGAAAACCCCAACTTTGCGGACACCCTGTATATTTCTCAACTAGATGAAGCTATCGATAACATTACAGTCTCATGATTTATAATACAATGATATATACAATAAAAGCGTGTAAAAACGTGAATCCATAGATTTTCTATTGTATCTTGACTGTTGACCAGCCTGTCTCAAAACCTATCTTAAAGCTTGTGAATGATTTTGAGGTAGCTTTAATCCGAAACTAGCTATTTATCTTCCATTGTTTCTTGTCATCTTATGAATTAAATAGCTGAACGGAAAATTATAAAAACAAATGAATTGACATTTTTGTACATATGCATTGAATCGATTTATGATATTATTGTTAAAGACTTCTAGTCATTTTTTATAGGGTGCATGATTTTACTGGGTGTTCCTAAATGACCCAGCATTCAGCAGACAATACGCACAAAGTAAGTAAAAATCTACATACGAAATCCAAATTCCAATCTACACTTTCGGCAATGGCTAAAACATGTAACAAGTAATTGTCTTTATTGGGGACGAAGATTAGCATCGTGTAAAAAACGTACTAAACACAACCGTAAAAACCTTTGCATAATCAGAAGATTAATTCAGATGTGTTTGAAAATTACCTACATATTGGTTTTATACGAGCGCCGCGATACGGAAGAAAATGCAACTGACATATTAACAACACTAGATGACGTTAAGTAAAATGCCAAAACCACTGTCATTCTAACGGAATTCGTCAGATCTGCACAATATAATCGAAATCACGAAAGATGACGATTACGTCATAATTTTATTCTGTAGTAAAGACAAACGACAGCGATTTGTGAATATTTTTAATGAAGTTTCAGGTTGTTTTCGAATAATACTTTGGTCTTTGGTGTTCCTGTCTTAAGGTATTCTATACATCACTGTTTTTTTCAAAACAAAAACTCCCCACTAAAAGTATTATTAAGGTATCACTCAAAACCATGAAATAAAATAAAAATAAAAATAATCAGTGAAATAACCTAACTTCGCAAAATCATAATATAAATTTGTTGTCATTACGTTCCTGGCATCCTCATTTTATCATCGACGTCCATTGATTACTTCAGTACAATTTATGGTATGACGTAATAGTCATCTTTCGTGATTTTGACTATAGAAGATTACGTGCTGACCAGGACCAAAGGGACATATACCCTATTTCATGAGAATCCATCATGGTACAATGACAGCTAGTTATCTAGTAATATTTTAAAATTCCCCATATCGGCAAAGAACACATAATTCTGACGCATCCGTCAATGCCAGGTGGACAGAGCCATATTTTGTTTTGGTTTTTGGTACGCTACAGATTCATTTTGTACTCTCTAAAAGCTCTTTTATGTAGAAAAGTTCATTTGCATACAAAAAACGAAACAAATGTTTGCTAGATTTGCAACCAATTCATTATGTCAGCCAACGTTGCAGACTAACACAAAAATGTCACTTGCTGATCAGATGTTCACCTCAGTAGACGTCAAAGCGTGATGAATACTCGTGATATAAGGTATATTATACTTCGCAGCGTAGGTCGTAACTTGGATAAAGGAAATAAGGAGAAATAATTTCTGGCATTTAAACTCGAGTAAGACCGGTCGGCTTGTAAGCGATAATTTTAATGGGGTTTACTAATGTTATGCCTTTCTTACGGATCTGCTTTTATGTAATATTGCGAAATTTGATGAGATCTAAAATAGACTGACCAAGAGTATTTTTGGTCACTATTTTCGAAATTGCAACATTTTCAATTTGACTCCAAATTGCCCTAATCCGCAAATAATACCACTTATTTTATTTAGCTTCTAATGGGTTGAAAGAAACAAGCATATTACTGGAGGATGAGAAAAACAGAAAGGAAATTAGTAGTACAAATCTGGTAACCGAAATTTATTTTAGCATTTTACGTTTAGTCACTTTTTTCAGTCTATCAGTTGTATTTTCCTACATATTTAAGTGCGATACTGGCGCTCTAATCCTTGGTTCGATACGTCAACTGCACAAACATCTCGCCTCTCTTGAAGACGCGTATGTATCTTGAAACGATTCATTGAGGAACACCCTGTATGATATTTATATGCCTGAGCTATATTGTACTTTTTATGATATTTTGTTGTTTTGTTGAAGTGTTGTATTTTTACGATTGAGTATTGTAACGCGTGATGCATGCACTGGTTTTAAAGAGCAGATATGTAACCATATTAGGTTTAAACACAATTGAAGATTGACTTCAAACATTCCAGGTTCGATATTGCCGATAGTATTTACAGTTTCTTTTCTTATTTTGTCATGAAGTGAGGAAAAGTAATGTGGTGCTAATTTAATAAAAATAAATACAATATTGTGGAAATACCGACACTGTTCTAGCATGTTGTGAATTGTGATCAGTCATAAGAACTAGAAGTGCTGTTAGCAATATCAACAAAATATTTGGGAGAGGTCTAGTCTTGCCTGAAAAATAATATGATGATGAAAAGTGTTGTTCTCATTCTCAGTGTAACCATAAAATACTCTATGTTCTACATGCTAATTCCTTTTTTTACACTTGAGGACTTCTTTTAGTCTTATCATATTAGCAAATTTACACGAAATAATTGTAAATTCTGGCTTTATTGGTGCAAGTTGTTCAAGGGGGCATTTAAACATGGACGCATAAAATGGGTACACCAATTTTTGTGGAAAAACTTTTTGACAATAAAGAATGAAAAAACGTGCTTTTTGGGATTCAATCAAGTGTTGACAGAAACGAAAAAACTTTTCACATAAGATTTTTAAGTATTTATGAGACCTACAAAATGAGACCACACATGAAAATATCCGACTAATAGCAAAAATGTTATGGCCGAAAAACGAGGCAAAATGCAGGTTTTAGCACTTGTTGGTAATGCTACGATAATTTCACGTAACTACTTGAAATGCTTCAAATCCTCCTAAATAACAACAAAATTGGAGTATATTTGTCTAGTAGTTTTTTTGAGAATTTCTAATTGTTTATCCCAAAACACCTGTTTTCCGCGGCCATCGCTACTAGTTTATTGAGGAATATACAGGATTTGTTCAAAGAGCATTTAATAGCACAATACAAGTGTTTACCTAGCCGATATGAATCACAAACCACTCCGAAAGATAAATGTTATTTTTATGTAAGAAAACAAAGGTAACGTTTTTTCCTTCTAAACAAATTCAAACATTTCGCATTTGTGAGTAATTGAACAAATCCGCTACGATATTAGAAAAACATACGTTACTACACACAATTTAAAACAAAGCGGATGTGTCTATCATTTTTTGTTGCGAATTACTGACAAATACGAAATGTTTGACTTAGTTTAGAAGATAGAACGTAACTCATACTTTTTTGCATAAAAATAACATTGATCTTCCGGAATGGTTTGCGATTCACATCGGCAAAGTAAACTAGTGTATTTTGCTATAAAATGCCCTTAGAACCAGCCCTGTATATTGCTCAATAAAGTAGTAGTAATGGCCGGAAAACAGGTGTTTTGGGATAAATAATTAGAAATTCTCAAAAACTAATTGACCAATCTACTCGAATTTTGTTGCGGTTATTTAGAAGTACGAATTCTACGAATATGAAGTAAACCATCGTCGCATTACCAATAAGTGCGAAAACCTGCAATTTGCATCGGTTTTCGGTCATAACTTTTATTAGCCGGATCGTTTTACGTGTGGTCTCATAGATACCTAAAAGCCTTGTATGAAGAGTTTTTTCGTTCCTGTCAACACTTTCGATTGAATCTCAAAAAACACGTTTTCTCATTATTTATTGTCAAATAAAAAGTTTTCTCACAAAAATTGGTGTACCCATTTTATGGGTCCATGTTTTGAATACCCGCTTGAACAACTTGCAGCAATAAAACCAGATTTTACAATTATTTCGCAAACCAGGGGTATTTTCGTCTATGATCAGTCATTGTTTGTTGTCAAAGCAGTAGGACTCTTGTGTATCAGTCCGTAGGTCTGTTAGGTTTGGTAACTCAGGAACTCTAGTTCAAGGACAAATGACGGAGAATGATTAGACATTGCTGAAATCAATCGACATATTTCGGTTAATGTTGAATGTTTTCAATTTGTTCGTTCTTGATTGGCGATATTTTGTTTTGCTTACAGTACTAGATTCAGAACTTTCAGCGGTAAAGCAAAGAGGAGGACCACTTTGGCATTGCCTATTGGGGAACGGACATTAAGTGTCGAGTAAAAGTGTCTAGTTATGGGTATAACCACATGGGGCATTAGTTACAGACACAATGGATTCTCCCGACTTTGAATGTTCACTTTGACGAGGAAACACCAAAAACTGCATTAGCATGACTTATGATGAAATAAACAGTCAGCCTCATGATACTGTTGCTCAAAGTGTTTTGGTTTTCGATACTTCAGGTTATCCTGTTGTTGAGAACATCAGTGGTACCTGGCACCTCTTACTGAAACCGCGGTTTTAGTACAAAATATAGTTTGTGTTTTGGGGTGATTCATTTTGAATGCGTGCTTCACCGTTTTTGCAGCCTGTCGCAAAATATACCAAAAATCGGCTGGTCCACGAGTGCAGTCTTCATGACAGATTATGCTTTATTCAGTTGGTATTTATGCCACGTCACAACAAAGGCGGCTCCCTAACCTATCCATGCTTGCGCCCATTTTGATTTATTGTTGCATAACCAGCAATATAGCAGAATAATTTGGCGATCTAGAGGCCATGCTTGTTTTGATGCGGCGTAAATGCCATCTAAAAGTTTGCATCGTCCATATTATTTGAATACATTTGAGGGTCATGTCGGTATTTTTAGTGGAAATGAACAGTAATTTCTATGTGCTATAACCATTCCAAACTTTATCGAAAACTGATTTGGAAGTGAAGTAAAACCCACAGACAAGTGGAATCTTCGGATAAATGTTATGCAAAGTATGCCATGACGTGAGACTAGGCGCTCCCTGAGTATTATACCAAAAAAGTGTGCCCTTTTTACCTATTTTATAGTTTTCCAACTTGTGCCTTTTGATCAATAATTTTATTTACACATTACTGTTCTCGTCATCGCATAATACATGTGTTACATGATTTCAAATGTTACTGTATAAATAAACAATAGATTTATGTGCTGCACTTGCTATGCTTTATTTATCTCGCCCTTTCCCATTTTATACAGGGCGTCCAAGATAAGGACCCTATCCATGGGGATCTCATTGTCTGTTGGAGATACAGCTTAAGTTAAAAAAAGTAGCGGAGCGGAGTGGAGTATAGTGCAGTCAATGGCGACATAAGAATTAGTCCAGACATAAATAGTGGTGTATATAAATGTTTTATCAAATTAAATAAATCAGTGCATTTCTTTTTGTGGAATCCAGTGTTTTAATCCACACCCAAAAGAACCCATAAAAACGCTACAATACCAATAGATCAGCACACGGTTGCAACAGTTTGATAGCGGAATTGAAATTTCAACAAGTGAGTGGACAGTACAAAAATTTTAGGAGGATATCTCCGACGGATTTTGAATATCTTCTCACGTTGATTGGATCAAAAATACGAAAACAAGATACAAAATGGAGAGCTGCCACCGCAGTGCAAGAAAGACGTACAGTCACCGTGCGATTTTTAGGGACAGGTGATTCAGATAGCAGTTTGCAATACATGTTTCCACCGCGACTTTGTCTGGTTTCTGGGCAACCAGGACTGACAGATTCGACTAACGTACATTAGACAGTGACTAATGGGCAAAGATACTACGGATCGCCCAGACAAGCAAATGACGAATAGTACATGTTTCGAATTTCAAAGCAATCGATCAGCTACATCATTCCAGAAGTTTGTGAGACATTGATCGAAGTTTTAAACGAAAATATACAAGAAAAATAATTCCTTTACTTCTAAGTACTCGTACATTACAAAATAACGCATTGGTGCACGCCGCACCGGTGTGCCCGTCCAAACAAGAGCAACTTCGTCGCGAGCCATCCCTTTGATGTTGCGCTGAAAAATCGACAGAGTCTGGATCGGGCCGAACGGCGAGCTGTAACGCTAATCAGGTTCGCGACGGCGTTCTTTTCACCGTCTACATAGAGGGCATTTAAATGTTGAACGTAAGTTGAAACGTCGTCTTCCTGGCAGCTTGTCTGTGACAAATTGGGGAACTGAGAAAATTCGCCCCGTCCAATATTTTGCTTCATTAGTTTAACTCTGGCAAGAAACGCTGATAAGATGGACTTTGTTTTAATCAAATTTAAATTGTCGCCTTGTAATTGCAAATTAACCATATTAAATTTTTTAAACAAATCTGTTAAATAGGCGATGTCTGTTTTCCTCTTCATTAAATTTTCTTTTAAAATTTTATCTTTAGTATCCAGAAATTCTAAAATAGTCTCAAAAAGTGCAAAAAATCTTGTCAAACATAAGCCTTTCGACAGCCAGCGTACTTTAGTGTGAAGGAGTAATTGATGAAAGTGTTAGTCATTTTCTTCACACAACTGCGCAAATAACCGCGTACTCAACGCGTTGCTTCGGATTCGGTTTACTGCATCAATGACTAAATGAAGTGATTCATGTAATCTAACACTCAAATTTTTAGCAACTAAATGTTGTCGATGGATGACGCAATGTATTGCTAACACCCCTGACACATTTTGTTTTGAATAGCTTATAAATCCACGATAACGTCCAACCATGACAGGTGCTCCATCTGTAGCTACTGATATTATATTTGATAAACGAATTGCTTTTTCAATGAAGTAATCCTTCAAAACATGAAATATTGATTCACCTTTAGTGTCGGTTATCAAAGTTCTTCGTAGATTTCTTGATTCATAATAAAACGAACATATGCCAATAATAATGCTGCATTATCTGGTAAAGTTGACTCGTCCAGTTGTATAGAGAAATGGGTCGTTTGCAAATAATTACATAAGAAGCTTTCAATATCAGAACTCATTTCATCAATACGTCTTTCAACAGTATTGTTGCTTAAGGGAATTCTTTTAATATCAGATGCAGGTTTGTGTAAAACAGTTTTTAAAACCTCTTCAACGGCTGGCAAAATTAACTTCTCTCCGATAGTATGCGGTTTTCCGGATTTTGCTATAAGTAGCGAGATATTGTTAGATGCCCGCAAACCATCATCATTTCTTTGTGACGTCGAAGCGAACATTCTGTCCAGTGTAGGTCTCTTCTGAAATTTATCTTTGAGTGTTTGAAAGTATTTCAAATCTTTCTCTGTTTTATCAGGGTGGCATCTCAGATGATCTTGCAGTTTAGATGGTTTCATAGCGTCATTGCCCAAAACTTTGTTGCATAAAAGGCACATAGGCGATTGTTTGTCCGGCAATGATGGAATGAAGCCAAATTTCAAATAATCAACACTGTACTGTCTACATTTCTTTTTAGATTCGGACATGGCATCAGTCATCTGTGGGCAAAATTAAATTATTTAAATAGATCCAGCAGCTGTATATTAAAAATATTTATTGATTTTTCCGAAAACATTCCATAATTCGAACATCTTGCAACAATTAGCTCGAATTACGGAGATTGCACTGTAATTATATTACCGATTGCTAAAACTTTCAAAAAGGAACTATTGAGGAGTATTCGTGTAATTTTGCATGATTGAATATTTAACTACTAATAACTAAAGTCATGATTGGCGTAATTTATCTATCTTTGCTAACTACGAGTACAAAACTAAAATTTAATAAAAAATAATTTACTTACTTTTCTCCAGCACTCTCAAACAAAATAACACTGACTCACTATAATTTGCTATAATTTGTGTGATATACTATCTGTTTATATTTTTTAAAATATTTTCTTAGCACTTTCCTTTTCAAGATTCAGGAAACGAATAAACGTATTTGTCCCACATTCGTATTTATAGAGTGACGAACTGAACAAGTCAGTGCAAGGTAGCGAAGCTCTGAGACTGCGACTCTCAGATTTTTACAAGTTCAAAATGTATTGCGACCACAAAGCGAATACCAACATCCTACAACTTACACAATTTTATAAACATATATAATAATTTTTTTACTTCATAGGTACTTTTATAAATAATGTATATGTTTTGATATTATAAGATAGTATGATGTAAGTAAATAGGTACTATCAGTGTATGTGTTGAGATCCACTATTCGGTGAACGTGTTATATCGAGAAATGGTCATGTCGAATGACCGCCTAGATCGTGTGATTTAACACTTCTAGACTTTTTTGTGGGGCTATATTGAGCCATTGGTCTATGTATATGCCGACAAGCCGGCATCGTGTGGCGTAGTCATTGAAAATCGGGGTCAACGATCGATCGCTGCGAACGTTCCCGTGGTGGACATATGAACGAGGTCGAATTCCTCACATAAATGTTTTGAGTATACTTCAATCCAATAATAAAATTTTCGAGATATCTCAAATGGTTTTTTTTTTTTTAAAGAAACTTACCAACTCATTAATGGAAAGCCCTATAGTTCATTCCACGTCTGGTTGCTATGATCGCTGTTCACTGACGTTTAAGCAACACTTACATCAGTGTTTACACTTAGTACAAGTGTACAACAGCTTGTGCTAAGTTAACATCTTGTACAAAAAATGTCCAAAAAAACCAACAAAATGTCACTTTTTAAGATACGTAATACCCGTGCGTAAACCTAGTAAATGAATGCGCCACAAAAAAATCGTGTTTTCTCTTTCACACCTGCAAACATGCATGGGATCGAATTTTAAAACCTCATTTTTTTGCTGCCCGCTTCACGTGAAACGATATCAGGGTTTCTAAATATTATGTATTGTAAGGTAAATAAAAATCATGAGCTTTGCTTAAATAGTATTATTTCACTACACTGCGCAATAAACAATCTTAAATGGGCATACTAAATAAAAAACGGATATTCCATAGTATAGACATTAACAGGTAAAGTATCTGCAAAAAAATAACAAATCGATCACACTTGAATGGAATTGGCTGCATCAGTCACCTCAGTCAGGCTTTTCTCACTGCGCCACGTGTGTGCTGGAGGTAACAAAATGAGGTCCATTCTGTAGACTTGTTTGGGACGACGGGACAGAAGGCTGTTGAAATTGAGGAGGTGGCAATACAGCCCCAGCAGGTCCGCCGGTGAAATTTGGAACCCTTAAAAGAAAAAAATAACTTACCTATACGGGGTGTTCCTTAATGATATGCGAATATTTGAGGGTGTGAATCTACATGAAAAATTAATATTAGATTGCTTAATAAACTATGGTCCAAAAATGTTTCCTTACAAAAACTCGGGGTGTTGAAGTTTTAGAAATTAATTAATATTTTCAGAACCGATTCAGATATTTCACTGATATTTGGTACGTAGTGAAAGTTAATAATGTTGCATATTTTTAAATGCAGAAATAATTTTTAGCTTTAACAGTGGCGTGCGTACGGGTATTGACGTCGATATTTTTTAAGAAAAAAATGGTACCCCAATGGTTCGTTGCCAAATAAAAATTATTTTTGAATTCCCCGTTCAATGTAAAACAAACGATCTCTCCTCAATTGTTTTCCTTCGATGCGCCATTTATGAGTAAAAAAATAAAAACCGTTCTATAACGTTGACAATATTTTAATAGCGACACAGGAATTGATGCACTTCAATTTGGTTAATGGAGGATCCGTTGATAACGAACAGGAAGACGAACTAGAAAACAACGATGAAAAAGAGCTTCCAGTGAAAAGTAAGGAGGCATTAGACTGCGTGAAAAAGTTGCAACGTTATTTTCAGCAAGAAGAAGACAGTACAGCCACACTTACCAAATTAAATAAAATTAAACTTGCTGTTCTAAATAATTATACAAAAAAAACAATATGTTCAAATGAAAATTACTAGCTTTTTTACCAAATAATTTACGGTTTTTACACATACCTACACAGTACGTATGCCTGTAATATGTGTATCAGTTTCTGAAAAAATTCAAATTTCAAAATTACGTATAACTGTTTTGTATGTATATTTACATATGTAATACATGTTAAACAAACACATTTTAAGCTTTCAATATGTTGTTTCTGATGCTTTTTTCATTAAAAAAAATGTTTCATTTAAGATGGTCATCCGCCTATAATTGACTATTTGTCATAAAGTCTATATAAACATGGGTCGAAAAATGCGTGGCTTCCGAAATACAGGGTGTTTAAATTTAATTTCTAAAATAGTTTTTTTTAAATGTTTCGAACAATATTTGATGTATAATAGTGAAAATTGGTATACAAAACGAACCATGGGCATAGTTTTACTGTAGCCGCTAGAGGGCGCTCTTTACTGTATATGTAGTGTATTAAAATGACCGAAATATTTTCTTAGTGCAATTTTTTGCTTTTTGAATAAAAAAACTGATTCTTCGCACATTTCAACATAAAAAAAACTCTACTGTGAGTTTTCGTTATAGTTAGCCGTTTTTGAGATAATTCGATTTTTAAGGTTCGATGCATTTTTAATTATTTATGGGAAAACAATATTTTTTTTACATTTTAGATTTGGGCATTACAATTAATTAAGATGATCGTTTAGATTGTGTTTTTAAACACAGCAATAATTCCTAACTCTAAATAAACACAAAAAAACCGAATATTAATTTGTTTAATTTTCCAATATTATTTTTAACAAATTAAATTAATTATTTACAACTAAAATGCTATTGGATAGTTAGGACAAACATGCAAAATAGTAGTTGCTCGAAATGTAAACCCAATTGTTCAATACACAATTCACATCTACGAATGATCGAACGTGGTATAGCATTATTCAAATAAGGCCTTATTTCATCACATGCATTCCTTATTCTGTCTATTAGCATATCTCTTGTGGTTACGGGAGGCTGGTACACTTTTTCTTTTAGAAATCCCCACACAAAGAAATCTAATGGATTTAGGTCTGGGGATCGTGGAGGCCAGGCGACTGGTCCTCCACGGCCGATCCATCTTTCTGGATAATCTTCGTCCAGCCAGTTTCTAACTATTCTCGAATAATGAGCTGGACAACCATCAAGCTGGAACCAGGCCAATCTTCTTAAATCTAACATAACATCATCCCACATATTTGCATGTTCAGCCTTTAAAAATTCCAAGAAGGTCGCAGCATTTAACCTTGCAGGCAAAAGGTAGGGTCCAAATAGTCGATTACGGTAGATACCAATCCACACGTTCACACTAAATTCATGCTGAAAATTTCTTTCCCGAACTGCATGCGGATTTTCATGCAACCAAATATGTTGATGAAAAATTACCACTCCACGTCTAGTGAAGCATGACTCATTGGTCCATAAAACGTTACTTAAAAACTCCCTATTATTATCAGTTCTATCAAGAATCCACTGACAAAATGTGATTCTTCGTTCTCCGTCCCCGGGCTGTAGTCCTTGCACAGGTTGCAAATGGTAAGTACGTCTATGGTCATTTCTAAGAACACGGTGAACATGGCTTGCTGAAATTCCCAAGGCACCGGAAACTCTCCTAACACTTGTGGTCGGATCTCTATCAAACTCACGCAGAATCATAGGGGTAAATCTGCGCTGGTTAACATTTATGTTTTGATCCCTTTGGAGATTTCCAAAACCATTTTCAATTATTTGGCGATGCACTCTTACAAATAGTGAGCGAGTTGGATGTCGTCTGTTTGGAAATCTTCGTTCGTATTCTCGGGCTGCTTCTGCTGCGCTTCCATTTACAAAGCCATACACAAAATGAATATCCGCTAACTCTTGATTGGATAATAAAAATGGCATTTTTATAAAACTTACAAAAAAAACAGTTAAAACAAACTAAATTTAGTGCATTCACAATTGCAAAAAAACGTTTCAGGTTTCAACAGACAACAAAACTAACTGTTAACTAATTGACGTTTAACCTTATTCTGCTTTCAATTTCAAAAATATTTGCAGGCACAGCCTACTTCTAAAAATTATCGAGATACTGACTTTTTAACGTTATTTTATCATAAATAATTAATAATGCATCGAACCTTAAAAATCGAAATATCTCAAAAACGGCTAACTATAACGAAAATTCACAAGAGAGCTTTTTTATGTTGAAAAGTGCGAAGAATCAGTCTTTTTTATTCAAAAATCAAAAAATTGTACTACGAAAAAATTTTCGGTCATTTTAATACACTACAGGTACAGTAGAGAGCGCCCTCTAGCGGCTACAGTAAAACTATGCCCATGGTTCGTTTTGTCGTACCAAAAAAAACCTTGTATACCAATTTTCACTGTTATACATCAAATATTGTTGGAAATATTTAAAAAAAAACTATTTTAGAAAGCAAAATTTAAACACCCTGTAGTTCGGAAGCCACGCATTTTCGACCCATGTTTATATAGACTTTATGCATTAATTTTAAAAGTTCTATCGAATCTTAAAGTTATGCAACAATAAACTGAAACACCCTGTATAGATATCGCAGAATGTTGACATTTAATTATAGACTCAAGGAACTAAAGTGTGCTGCTAAGAATATGTCACAAAATACCTCCGGTTAGTTTTTTTATATTGTTAACACTGCATGCTATTAATATACGTATGGCAGCACTAACCCTGGTCCCATATAATGCATGGCCGCTTGATGCTGCGGGTGCGGTGCCGGCCCCGCTTCGTGCCTCCTATCATCATGGTGCGGCGGATGCGGGGCGCCAGGTGGGGCGCCAGCTATGTGCCCCGCGCTGGCCGACTGCGGAATGTGCTGCTGGAATGGGATACCGTGGGGATGCGGTGGCACCTGCCCAGGGCCCCCACCAGGCTGACTGTTCATGAAGGGCGGCTGGTGCGGGTGCATCCTGTCGTTGGACGATACGGGGGCGACCTGCTGGTGAGGAGGAGGGCCGTGCTGCTGCATCAGGTGCATCGGTGGCAAGGTGCCGCTGTAATGCTGGAGATAGGAAAATAACGTCAAGTAGATTGACTTCCCACGCAAAGCCTTGAACAACAACAACAAACAAATTTTCATTTCCTAATATACATAAATAACATTTTAACCAAATTTCAAGCTGGATTCAGGAAGAAACACTCAACTGAAATGGAAACACAAATGGTTTTAGAGGACTGGAGGAGATGTATGGACAATCGGAAACATACAGTTACAGTGTTTTTGGGCTTCAAAAGGGCGTTTGAGACTACTGACAGGGATAAATTACTTACAAAATTGCATCACTACGGATTTAAAGGATCTATATTCAAAATTCTACAAAACTATTAATTGACAGACGTCAAAAAACCAAAATTGGATCTACACTATCAAGATCAAAAAGTATTTCTGTTGGTATACCACAAGGTAGTAAACTAGGTCCACTACTATTTATTTTATAAATTCATGACATTTGTAATATTTCAGATTATTGTAATCTTCAGATATTTGCAGAAGATACATTAATATACATATCAGATGAGAATATAGACACTGGTTTAAAAATGCTAAATACTGACTTGGCAAAAATCGTAAATTGGTTAAATGTAAATAAACTAAAATTGTATACTTCTCAAACAAAATGTATGCTAATAGCGAAATACTTAAATGAAAATACTATCACAGTTAGGACAAATGGAGAAATAATTGAAAATGTTGAATCAATTAAATATTTAGGTACATATATTGATAGTAAACTAAAGTTTGAGGATCGCTATGAATACATTATTTCAAAAATTGCCAAAAAACAAATTACTTTTATAGGGCTTCTCATAGTCTTGGTACCTATTCCAGAAAATTGTTTATAATATAATTATTCTACCGCATTTACTATATTGTTCAATTATCTTGTTCACTGCCAATGAAGCTGTATTCTCAAAATTACAAGTCTTGCAAAATAAAGCTATGAGAATAATATTGAATAAAAATAAGTACACCAAAATAAAATCCACCACAATTATTATACAAAAGGAAATATAGATTTTCATTTACAAAATTGCAATAGTAATGTAACTAGCAAATCAATATTTCAGAAAGGATTAATTGAAGTTAATAAACCAAATAATGATATAAAGTCTACTTGTAATTTAAAGATATTTAAAAGAAAATTAAAGGAATATTTCATGGACAATGAACATTCTTAGAGATGTAAATTTTGTTTTTTTTTCTGAATGACTGTATGTTATATAATTGCTTAGTTTTTTAGAAGAATGTAATTGTAGCAATCATGCTAAATAAATCTTAAACAAACTAACAAATAACGCAAAGTAAATTTGTGTATCAACAATGTTAGGTCATCACAAAAAAATTACTACATACTTCAGGGCAAATACTTTAATTCAGTTCAGCAAGAAATACATCTTCCACGTCAGCTTCAACCTGCTTTCGGATTTCTCCGTGTGTTGTTTTAGATTAGGATGCATATAAACAGTGTGACTTACCATTCCAGGCGCGGCAGGTGGAAAACCATAAGCAACTTTGTTTGACATGGATAACTGAGGCTCCCTCATCAAGGCATGATACAGGCTCAAGGCTTCAACTAAATCTGCACTCAGCTGTGTCAATTGTGCATGTTTTCTGTCCACCCGTTCTAGCTCAGTATCTATTAGAGGTCCCATAGCATTCACTTCCCCTGAAAAAAAAATTATAATATGTAGCCAAATGAATTAATAATAATAATAATAATTTATTGGTACTATTACACAAAAATGTGTTTGCACAGGTCATTTAAAGTAAAACATAAAAGAGTAAGTAAAAGTAACAAACAATACGAAAATAAGACAAACTTAAAACACAAAGTGGCAATAAAAGGTAAAAAAAACTTGATAAAACTATTTTAAAATTTAGAGGAACAATAAAATAAGATGGTTAAAAAATTATGAAATAGTAATCATTTTTTCTTTCTAATGTGGGATTATTTTTCCAATGCGGTTCTCCAATAGTGACGGCCACTTGACAGATATTTTGGATTCGATATTGATGAAGAAGTATAGTGAAATATGATGAATCAATAATGGATATTACTTACTTTCTAAATTCAACATTTCTTCGGTATCATTTTCCGGGTTTGTTGGATCAGCCTCATGTAATAGATGCAACAATCTATCAATCTTTTCCTCACTTATTTCCATCGTTTCCGGTTGTTTTTCCTCGAGCACTTTCACATCTGTACTTTCTTTGAATTGTACCATTTTCTTGGCCTTTTCGTATACTGCAACGTACAAGGTGTTCGTTTGAAAACGTACCACCACAGATTTATCGAAAACCAGATTAAAAGAAAAAATGCCCAAAAAAGATTTGTCAAGGGGGGCAACTTTTTAACCAAAAACTATTACACCCCCCTTCACCCTCTGCCCCCCAGGGTCATCCCCTTAAAAATTTTAAATGACAAGGGGTGATGAGTAATAGCTTGTTTGAAAGGTCTTTCGGAGTTCTTTATTTAGAAGTTTGATTTTTTAAATCAGTCGATTCGTTTTCGAGAAAATTAGAAGATTTTTTATTTATCTTGATTTGACAAAAACATACGAAAATATCACTTTTTATTTCAATAAGTGTTCAAAATGTTGCCCATCAGGGTTTGCTTAATCAACAATTACAACCAAATAACAACCCGAATTTTTTCCGCATTCTTTCCATCAACACAGATATGCTCCGCGAACTGTATTTATTGTTATACCTGTTTAGTTATTTGTTGCTAAGGGAAAGAAAGAATTGAATTTCCTGTCTGTTACCTTTCTTTAGAACAAGATTTTACAGTTAATTTTGTATGGTTGACGCCATTTGTATCAAATGTGAATTATCGCTGTCGTACAGCATTTGTATACTAAGTGACATAAATCCGAACACCCAGTTTAAATGGTTTTATTTTAATAAAAGTTGGTGAATGTATTTATCTTACTGTAAATAACAAGTGAAAAAATTTTCAGCCTTATCAGTTGGACATTCCGGTTTTTATACTGCTTTTTTTTAATTCAGCAAAGAACTGTTACTGCGGATCGGTATACCACCATTTGTTTGCCAAAAGTCATCACCGAGCTTCGAGAAATCGACCCCGAAAGATATTTCCATATGCAAAACTTAAAAGACATCCCTCGTAGAGTGATTGGTCCATAGTTAGCCAGGTTGGTCGTCTGCCCACTTTTAAACTACAGGAAATATTACTCCTTTCTTAAAGCCTGAGGGCACTCTCCAGTATGGAATGCCCAGTTTAATATGAAAGTTAACGGTTCCGAAATTTCGATAGCAATTATTTTTAGAGTGTCAGCTCTAATTTCATCCCAGCCCGGAGCCTTTTTGTTTTTCAAAGACATGATGGTATTCATCACCTCTTCTTCTGACGTGTTCTCTAAGAAAAATGATTATGTCTTTATGGTCTTTTCAAAATGACGTAAACGATTTTGTTTATTGTTGTTTTTCTCTGCCAGGACTCTACCGATGCTGCTAAAATATACTAAGTGACATATAAATCCGAACACTCAGTTTAAATGGTTTTATTTTAATAAAAGTTGGTGAATGTATTTATCTTACTGTAAATAACAAGTGAAAAAATTTTCAGCCTTATCAGTTGGACATTCCGGTTTTTATATTGCTTTTTTTTAATTCACTAACGCTCTAAAAATGAATATTTCAGCCGCAGTAAAGAATCAACGTTGGCGGATTTTGGTTCTTGACATCCTTTACGATCGGTTACGATGCCTAGAGTACGGAGACCTGTACGATTTCGTCAACTTAGTGAGTTTGATAGGGGCCGTATAGTGGGACTTCGGGAAGCTGGACTTTCTTTTCGGGCAATTGCAGTTAGAGTGCAAAGAAGTGTAGACACTGTGGTTAGGTGTTGCCAAGCATGGCTTCGAGAAGGCCGTACGCAAAGAGCAAGGGGCACTGGACGCCGCCCTAGAACAACAGACCGTGAAGATCGCTGCCTAAGATTTTTTTTTCTCCACTACCAGGTCCATTGCAAATGGATGGTTTGCAGAACACGGAAGACCTATTGGCATGCGAAGTGTTTACCGACGAATGAGAAGTTTTGGCTTGTTTTCATACCGGCCACACAGGGTCCTCCCTTTAACTCGAGAACACCGACGTAATCGCCTTGAGTGGTGCAGACAACGGTCACTCTGGGATCAGGAACAGTATTGTCTTTAGTGACGAGTCTCGATTTTGTTTAGGCATGCACGATGGTCGTGCCAGGGTTAGAACGCGACGTGGTGAAAGGAGGAATCCACAGTTTTTTGTTGAAAGACATGTTCATCACACTGTTGGAGTTATGGTTTGGGGTGCTATAGCTTATGGTTCCAGGTCACCTTTAATCTTCATCAGAGGTAACATGAACGCGCAGCGTTATATCCACGAAGTTCTAGAACCCCATCTTTTACCCTATCTTGACACCCTGGCAGATCCAACTTTCCAACAAGATAATGCCCGACCACATGTTGCAAGAGTCACAAATGACTTCTTTCAACATAATGATGTCACATTGTTACCATGGCCACCAAGATCTCCCGACTTATCCCCAATTGAGCACGTGTGGGATATGATGGGTAGGAGATTGCTCAATTTGCAACGTCCTCCTCAGACTCTAGAAGCACTTCGAGAGGAGTTGGTGGTTGCCTGGAATGAGATACCACAGAAGGACATTGACCACCTGATCAGTAGCATGCCTAGGCGCGTTGGAGAATGCGTAGCACATCAGGGTGCATCCACACATTATTAAAGGTCAAAGAGCTTTAAAGCAGTGCAATCATTTTGAAATGTTTATCATTTACTTATTATGCTTCATTAAGTACTTATACAAAATTTTATTAGAATAAAACCATTTAAACTGGGTGTTCGGATTTATATGTCACTTAGTATATTTGCTAATAAAGATTTCTGTTGTTATTGATGTTTGTCGCAATTCAGAACCCGATTACTACCATAGGAATATGTCAAATTACCCGTAACATTGTAATGTATTGCTAAACATCACATAAGCATACTGACACACACTGCTACTTACGAAATTTTTCGGGTTCAACCGACAAATCGGCTGTGACAAAATTTGCAGGAAACAAGCCCTCGCCTCTGTGATTACTTCCTTTCCACCAATTTGGGTCAGAATCATCAAGAACAAACACTAAAAACATGAGTAGCATTAGAAGGAACATTCATTGAGCTGAATACAGTGTTGCATGCACTTTCAAAATTTCATAGCATATCGTCTGAGAAATAAAGTAAGTTTAAAATAAAACAACAACTGTGCCGAAATCACTACTAAAAACGTGCTGAAAAACTGTTTCGAAATTTTGGGATATCCTGTATTAAATTGGATCAATTGTTCACTGAGAAGCAGTTCTTTTCCTGAAAATTTTAAATGCTCTACAATAACACCAGTTCCCAAAATAAAAAATTCTAAAAGATGCAGCGATATGAGGCCAGTAAATGTGTTACCAGAGATAGTGCATGACCAATTAATGCAGAAGAAAACAACATTTTTGTGGAGGCGCAAGCAGGCTTTCGAAAAAAATATTCCACAGAAACGGCTTTCCAGTTGGTAAGTGAGAATTGGAGAAGAGCCATAGACTCAGAAGAAGTTGTCACAGCAGTATTTTTGGATTTAAAGAGGGTATTTGGTGTTAGGTAAATTGAAGGCATATGGTCTATCAGGAAGTGTTTTAGATTGGTTTAGAAATTATTTGTCTAAAAGGATGCAAGTTAAAAAAGTTAATGACACTATTTCATCAAAAATTGAAAATAGGTTGGGTGTTCCACAGGGCAGTATCCTGGGACCACTTCTTTTTATTTTATACATAAATGATTCGCCTGCCATAGTAAAAAAATACAGAATTCAGATTTTCGCCGATGACACTATGATTTATATAAGTACCAAAAATATTCAGACTGGTATCTCTTATACAGGGTTATCCAAATTAAGTGTCCACCATTGGTAACTTTGTTATTAGTAAAAATACAAAGTTGTTTAAATTAGCAAACTAGTAGCATTTTTAACGCTGGTAAAAATGAGAAATAAAAAAAAACAATTGAGAGTCGTTATTTTGATTTTTTTCAGTAAAATAACATTTTTTTAAATGGAAACCCCTGTATATTATATTTTTTTCTGTTAAAGCATCAAATTTTAAACAACGCGTTAAAGACTGCAGTTAGGGAAAAGATAACCCAGATAGATGGTAGGACCATACTTAAGACAGTTCGAGCAGTTGAAAAACGTGCCCAAAAATGTATTTAAGAACAAGGTGGTGTTTTCGAGCATCTTCTTTAAAAAAAATTGTTAGTGTATTTTGTAAGATTATAAGTTGATGTTGAAAATAAAGTTTGTCGATACAATTTAATTGTTTCAGATTGGAGGCCATAACTTCAACAATTTGTAACCTAGGAGAAAAGTTATTGTAAGCTTTTTTGTTTAAAATTTGATGCTTTAACAGAAAAAAATATAATATACAGGGGTTTCCATTTAAAAAAATGTTATTTTACTGAAAAAAATCAAAATAACCACTCTCAATTGTTTTTTTTTATTTCTCATTTTTACCAGCGTTAAAAATGCTACTAGTTTGCTAATTCAAACAACTTTGTATTTTCACTAATAACAAAGTTACTAATGGTGGACACTTAATTTGGATAACCCTGTATAAATGAAGACTTGAAACTTGACTCAAAAAGGTTAGCATCCAACAGACTCAAATTAAATACATAAAACAATGCTTACGCGTCGAGCACGATAGCGGTGGCGCGTACAAGTTGTAACCTGTTCAAACCTGCGTGCTCTACATTAGCAAAGATTGTCAAATATGTATGTATGTAATATTCAAAGACATGTCGGATTAGACAGGGGCCGGATTATCGGGGGTCCACTGTATTATTAGGGCACCTGTGCAATTTTCAGCACGTCCAAATCATCAAAGTACTCACATATTTCTCCACTACTGAATGTTAGCTCATTGTCTTCTGCTGCCTCAAAGTCATAAAGGGCTCTGACTTTCCGTGGCTCCTTTGACGCTGACTGGTTAGTTGATGCCATATTCACAGATGGGTAAAGGGATGCACTTGATGCAGTAGGGGCTTTTCGTGGTGAACTGGAGTCTTTCAAAGACAATTCGATGGCTTTCAGGATTTGCTCTTCTTCCTCTTGGGATTCAACAACGTTTGGATCTTTATTAACTGCTGAAACTTTTTTCACCACCTGAAAGTCAAAGAAAAGTATTGGTTCTCATAGTAAATGCTCCGCGTTTCGATGAGCTGGTCAGATCTAATCCTGTAGCTTTTACTTTCAAATGAATTGTCCTGTTTCATGAATTAATTGTACGCGAAAATGTTATTGAAAACAGCTTTACATGAATCAAGAATTGTTTCTGAAATTTTCCGATTTTGAGATATATTTTAGGCGTTTGTAGGTTTTTGACATTGCATTATGTTTGTATCTACTGCATCAATGATAACATATATAGAGGTGTCCATTTACTATGTCTCAGGTGAACACTTGGACCTCATTTCATTTTAGTAAGTACAAATAAATGGTACTTTTCCAATTTCCCAAATTCTGAAATGTACAAGTGACAGCTGTGTTTTTTGTATCCATAAAATGACCCTCAATATCATTTTAGGAGCTAAGTAATTACACAAAATTCCCAAGTCAGATAAATGTTGAATTATGCTTTCCGTCACAATCTGGCAGAATAGCATAGCAAAATCAACTTTTTAAAAACATGCTCTCAATTTGAACGAGGAATATCAAAGTATGGAAATACAAGTTTGAGCTGTCAGAGTTTTAAAGTCTACATCTTGTATGGGTGAATATCTGGTATTTTGGATTTCAATATACTGCCAAAAAACATCTTTAGCAAATCGAAAAAAATGTAAAATATGCTTTATTTGAAACATACGATGAAATTAAGGTAACCATTAAGATATAAGCACAATATGCTTGAAATGCAACATGTCAAACCCAAGAAGGTCTGTTCGAACATCTAATTCAATATTTTGTTGACTTGGTGTTTTAATTTATTTTAGAATTGTCTTTGATTTCTACCGATGGTGATAAAATCAACACATGCTGTTGGAAAATGCAACAAATACAATTATGCAATAGAAATTATCACTGCCTATGTGTAAGTAGGTGAAAAAACCATTTCGAAGCAGGTCAACTGTGCCCTATGAGCACTAGATGGGGTACTGACCATAATGGTTCTATCTATGATTATGGAGGTGGAAGCCTTGTCTTAGAAGAGATGTGTTTACTCAGAGATAAAGTCTGCAGTGTTGATAATTCCATAAAATAATGGGAAGCATCTAGCAATGACTTGAGTTCTATTAAACTTCATAAAAAATTATATTAAGACTATGAATATTCAAGTAATAAGTACTTATTTTGCTTTTTAGGGTTATGTGTGCAAGATTAAAAAATGTTTCTTGGTGCGCTTTACCTGTGTTCAATTGCCACATTTAACAGCTAAAAATTATTTGTTACGCAAGTTGAAATTGGGTATGCTTTCTCTTTGTATTCAATATGAGTTACAATAACGATTTAACCTTGATTATACATATAAGCAATTCTCCAATTTTTTGTTTCAATATTGCAATGAGGAATGACAGTACTTACAGGTTCTGAAGAAGCGAAGTCCAAACCACCAGCTTTCAGCTTTGTATACAATGAGGGAATGAGATTTAACTCTCTATCAGACTTGAATTCATTCTCTGCCCACCTTTTCAAACATTCTCTTAATTTCTTTGCAACAGTTGGATGTGCCTTACTCATCAACCTTGTGAAGTCATTTTCAAACTCCCTAGAGGCAACTTCAATGTGAAATGTTTTGCCTGAATTCTTGACACAAGCATCTAAAAGCTAACATTTTTGTTATTATCTTTTATATCTTATCATGAATGAAACTTACGGTGACGGCTTTCACGCCAATATGAGGGTCAGTGTTATATAGCCTTTTAATGATGGCTCTTAAATAGTTTTTTGCATCATCAGGAGACTTTCCAGCCTTATCACAAATGCTCATTATAACACCCCAATGTTCTTCTACATCTTTTTCACTTGTAGCTTGCTCTAGGAAGTAATTATACGCACTTAAGATTGCGTGCAATCACACTGACGCATCAATATGAACAAAAAATATTTCTTTGTGCAATACATAAATACATGACTCACCTACTTCTGCTATGGTGGTATCATTCGAGGCTCCAAATAAACCCATCTTTCACAAATTATCTTTTATGTATCTATTTTGTACGTATCAATGACACTCTGCACTTACTTTAAACTAATTAGCGATCCAAATAATAGTGTCATAATTATTAATTTCGTTTTTGTCTATAGTGTGATGTGAATATTCTGTCACTTGGAATTTGCTTATCATAAATTTATTGGATAAAATATTGACATTGTCAAAATGTCAAAGTCAAAAATATGTTATCACAGAGCTTATTTATCATAGACGTCTAACAGATTGGAAGGAACGCTCCGATGCACTCAAAAAAAAGTATTGCTCTTACCTAGCATATTCGCTCATTTGAGTTCAAATGAACAATGCAGGATGTAGTACAACAAAAAGTTGTTACTATGTCTCGTTTATTGATTTCATCTACTTGCAATAACTTATCTATTATTTAATACCAGAGTTTTAGCTTAAACATATCTGTCACTCAGCTGAATATTATGTCCAGGAACAAATGAGCGAAACACAAAAACTGCGTGTGCGAAATGTTTCAAGGCTGTTTGCAGTAATTATAGAGCTGAAATATGTACTGAGTGTTCGAAATAAATATTTTATTATTCAAACAAAAGTGTCCTTTTTTGCCTATGATAATATTGTGAATTTTATTTCAGGTAGGTGGATGCTAGCAAATGAAAATACACATTATTATGAGTTAAAGATATCAAACCCAAACGGACTTGAGTCTGGCTCTGAGGCACCGATATACTTTAGGAACAAAAATGTCGTGCACTCGTGTCGTAGACTTTACGTAGCACCTACCTGTGTACCACCCTTTCTTTTCTGTGTTCTAGTGATGTAAAATAATTAAGTAACGCTTACAAAATAATCGTTACAAATGAGTAACTAAATGTAACGAGTCCTACTTTTTGAAAAGACTCGTTACTTTTTATTTGAATTCGTTACTTTGAATGCGATACGGTCTTTTTCTATGTATACTTTTTAATTACTGCTAGTTACTACACTATACATTACTTTAGATACAAACGTTACTGGGATCTAATGTAGCCAGTACTGCCAGCGCCAGCAGCAAGTGACTTGGTTCTTGGATGTAAACTGGGTGGAAATGAAATGATGCGAATATCGTTAGGCTTAGGCAACTTTAGATACTCTTCTATCAAACGAGTTGCGGACTGCGGAGCTTTAGGTTGGCAATGTTTGTGTACACCTGTACACTTTTCATTTGACTTTGAGAGCTAGCGGTTGGCGGGTTGTTACTGGTTTGGACGTTGCCGTACAAGCTCGAGCAATAATATAATTATTATTTGTACAAAAATATGGAATCATCCGCGTCCGGTTCAGGAGAATCGCAAACTCAAAAAAGAAGTGTTATTTGGATGCATTTCACCAATATATTGGAAGCTAATGCAAAGTCTAATCTTTGTAAAAATATTTATTCGCATAAAAATGGAAACATTAGCAATTTAAGGAAGCATTTGAAAACTAAACATCCGACTCTTTCATTGGAAGGAGAAAGGGCAAAACGGCGGGTGGAAGACGAAAATATGCCTAGGTGCAAAAAGAACTTAGTTTCAGGTATGTTTTATTATTATAAGTATTTTGTTGAACACCATTTACAGTGGAGTAACCAGACTGTTATGTAGGGCAGGGGAGTAACCAGACTGTTAGGGCAGGAGACGCTACTCAACTAAAGTAAAGAGTGAGGAGAGTGGTTCCTCCACGGTTCCCATCTGGTTATGCCACTTGTTAAATACTATTTACAGCGCACAGCCAACGAACCAGACGTCACACAACGACGAGTTTAAAATATAAGTACCTTCTACGTATCAAATATAAAAAAAATTAATAGGCAAGGCATTAGACAAAAAATAATAATTAGATCAATCCCAAAGTAATAATTTGATATAATATATAGAATGTAGGTTCTAAACGAAATGTCCAAATAGTAACTAAACTAACGAGTCCAAAGTTCGAAAGTAACGAGTCCTTACAAGTCCTAAAAAGTAACGAAACTTTGCATCACTACTGTGTTCTGCTGGTCCTGTGGTAATTTGACGCTATCGCGCCGCCTACACCCCCCACTACCTGCATTCATCTATTATTTGAGCTGTGTATGTTTTGTGGTATTGGGTATTGTGTCCTGTGCCCATCGACCGCCCCTGTGACGTGCCTATGACTGGTGCAGCGTTGCCAGACGTACGATAATTCTCGTTTCCGTACGATAATTTCAAGTACTGTACGATGTACGATAGTATGTGTAGGATAATAGCTAAATGTACGATAATTTTGCGAATGAGCTTTTTTACTCTCAGATGTTGATCTAACAACTACGTTCAATTAACACCAGCAAGCAGCTGTCAGTGTTGCTGCTTGGTAGACAAGCGCGTGTACCCCACTCTGTATAATGGGTTGTCTAGCATGACGCGGACTATCTCAATTCAATAACGATAATATGTCGGATTCCGAATCAAGTTGCTCTGGAAGAGAGACGCACAACAAAAGATGCAATACTCTCAAATACAGAAAACAAAAGAAAAGGAGCGGAATCTTTGAAGAAATCAAAACATAAACAGCAAGCTTATAGGAAAGAGACGGAAATTTTCTTTCTTCGTGAATCCTGAAAGAACCTAAGACACGGTGTAGGATAATGTACGATAAGTTTGACGTGTTTGTACGACAATTCCTTGTGACGAATTTGGCAACGCTGGACTGGTGTCTATGACGATTATGACTTCAGTGGTGTGATCCGGTTCCGCCATCTTATACTGGCGGATTGACGTTTATTGTGCTTGTGTTTTGCTTGCGTTTGCTATTTGTGCAGAAGTAAAAGCCGATCAATATTTTCCAAAAGAGAGTGTAAGCTCCACATAATATTAAATACAGTTCATCAGCACACAGGTGAGATTTTATACAAAAATAAAGTTCTGAATAGAAAGATTGAGCACACATCGAATTCTCAAACATCTAATTAGAATTTTGTTCAAATAAAAACCCACCCATCTTTAGGTATCCTTTTGCTATTTTTAGCTTGGTAAGAGCTTTAAAAAGTAGGCGCTTATATGTAAGACGGATTCGAGATTGTTTTGTTGTCGTTTTGATGTCCGGCAACGCGGGCCATACCTAAGGGCCGTATCGTCAGTCGTTAGCGTTACTACAATTTGTAGGACACCTTTATGGCCTTCTTTTTCCTAGTTTTCTACTGTTCCGTGTCAACGCTCTATTTTGAGGTTATGTTACAAATATTTATTTGCATAAAATTGTTCATACTTTTGATATATATCAGCCTGAAATTTCCTACAATTCAAAAAGAAAACAGCCTCACAATAGAAGGACGCTGACACGTAACAGAAGAAATCTAGAAATACCCAGCCTTTCTGAAGGAGAGGTAAAAATTATGAAAATCAAAGCCATAAAGGCGTCCCACAATAATTGTATGAACGACTGACGATATGGGCCTAAATCCTACGTGTTCCATCCCACTGAAATGAGTTCCCTGTATAGATTTTATCTATGGTTTTGATTTTACAGCATGTCTCGTTATCGTGAATGGGAGCTGAGCTGCAAGGTTTATGTCGGAAACCTTGGCTCTTCAGCCAGCAAGCATGAAATAGAAAGTGCTTTCAGTAAATATGGACCATTGCGAAATGTCTGGGTGGCTAGAAATCCTCCAGGATTTGCCTTTGTGGAATTTGAAGATCCCAGAGATGCTCAAGATGCTGTTAGAGGGTTAGATGGAACGTAAGTATTGTCTATCACATTATATCAAAGGTACAGCTACCTAGACAGGATCTTTGCCAATGCTGATATCAATTTTAGGCAGGCTGATATATCAGTATTATAATCTCTCGATATTTTCAGAGTACGAACAGTTCGTACGCAACACATTATTTCAACCGAAATCTTGTAGCTTCCGAATCATTGCCACAATCATTATTGAAGTAATTACATATGCAGAAGACATTAACAAATTATGAAATAGATTAATTTTGTATATGTTATTTTAACATTTTGTGGTCAAATTGTAGTGGCTATATTGATTGGATCATCATGCTAGTCAAAATAGTTGTGAAAGGTCTTTCGAAGTACTTTATTTTCACATTTGATTTTTCCAAATCAATCGATTCATTTTAAGAAAATTAGAAAAATCTTTATTTATCTTAAAAGTCAAAATAAAGGACGTCGACAGACTTTCCAAACAAGCTATTTCTCAATACCCGTTGTCATTAAAAATTTTTAAGGCAATGAACCAGGGGGGCCGAGGGTGAAAGGTTTTTGGTTAAAAAGGTGTTCCCCCTTAACGGATCTTTTGACGTGTCTCTTGTAATCGGTGGTTTTCGATAAATACGTGCTGGTTTTCAAATGAACACCCTGTATATTAACAAAAACTTTGACCTTTGTATAGCCGCTGTTGTGGTACCAGAGTTCGAGTTGAAATGTCGAATGGCAGATCCAGACGAGGAGGTGGCAGGAGAGGAGGATCTCGTTATTCAAGGTCAGTGACTCGCTATTATAAGTTAGAATTACCAATAAACTTATTATACCTATACCAATTAATCTTAGAAACACCTACAGGTGGCATCAACAAATTGCTTTGATTTCCTGTTAATCATTGAAATAGTTGATTAGTTTAAACAGAATACTGGTATATTCCATTAATAATAATAATTTATTGCATTGTTGAATAGAACAGAAAATTTTATAACAAATAACAAGGTCATGAAAATAGAGGTGACGAGTTGAAAAAGTATAAAAACATATATCTAAACAAAAAAGAGAGAATTTTTATTGTTATAATAAAAACTTCATAGATATTGAGCCATTCTTGTAGAATGACTAAATCATAGGTTCCTGTTTTAAGTTTGCTTGCGTTGTGCTTTCTGATGAACCATCAAGATTTAATCAGCAAGTCAATTGAGACATTAAAATCAATAAGCCGGCTTACATGATCCTCATGGAGAGAATATTGTTTGATGGTATGCACCAATCTCAATATGTCAGCTAAGTACTTATGAGACTTTGAATTTTTGGGAAGATGTCTTCCTCAAACGGTATCTTTTAATATTTTTCCTCATCTAGAAATCTGAAGAATTATTAGTACATACACTTTTGGTATAATACAGATGGAATGTAAAAGCATTAGGTTCATGTACAAACAAGGTCTATCGCAAAGTACACAAGATGAAGAAAAGATGAACAAAATTTTTTTGTTTCGTAAATCGAATTTATTTTATTCAAAAGAGTTAATACATCGATTTGCACTAAAAGATTTTAGAATGATTATTTTAGCTGATTGGTCGTCGACGCCTTTTGGATGGCTCCTACGTTGGCATGCCACTGTCCCTTCATGGACAAATGTAATTTACCAAACATAAGATAGTCACACACATATCAGAGAATATGGGGACTGGTTGATGGTTAAAATGCCATTTTTTGTCAATACCCAAATTCTTGGTCGAAATGCGATGAATTGCATTTTTAGAGATATTTAATTCCATTCTTATATATTTCAATTAAGATTTTTTTCAACCGTTTCTGGCGTAATCACTCGTGGACTTGGCTGTAAAATAAACAATCATCGCCATACACTTCCATCGACATCTGATGCGTTTCGGTAAATGTTTTGCCAAGTTTAACACGGAACTTAATATTGGCTCTTTGTTCGATGCTAAAAAGGTACTGTCACTTTGAGCGCGATAACTCCGCGTGAAGTGGTCCGATTGTCATTAAATTTTGACAGGGCATCAATCTTATCCTACGCTAGATAATAGATGGCACTGGTTGTATCAGATATCTTTCAAAATCCTTTTTACTCTGCGAGATACCTTGTATAATATTTTTTTTTGTCTAATAGAACAAATAACTATTTGATACCTACTTAAAAAAGTGTCAGCGAGACTATTTGTTCATGACTTAAACAAGAAAAAAACATTCTGGCGATTGATGCATACACATCTGTTTTCGAAACATGTTCCAATTTTTAGATAGATACATATAGTAGTTATAACAAAATACAATTTTCAGGGTATATCAAGTCATTTGTAATATTTTTAAGGCTTTTTTTACAGCAATGCTTCAGCTTGACTGAATTAAATTTGGTATACCTACTTCAATACCAAATATATTTTTGCTATATCATTTTGTGGTATTTGAATGAATGTCTCATTTTAATTTTATTGTTTTAAAGCATATAATTTCTTTTTAATTTGAAATTTTACGGTTTAGTTTGCCTATATAGTTGAGTGTGCTGTTTATCAGATTTTATTAGTAATATATCAAGAGATATGTGGCTATTAAAAAATATATTTTCCCATACGTGAACAATAGTAGTAGGTTGAATTGTTGACAAAAAGTGAGAAAGGAGGCTGAATTTTACTTGCAGGTGTTTAATATGGTGGTATTAGGAGCATTAATCGAAGAAATTTAATCATAGCGTTTTTGGAATTATAGAATACAGTCAAACAGTAATGGAAATGAGGCTGTACTATAACACATTGCTTATGATTTACTAGCTTTGATAGTGAAACACCAAAATTCTTACACTAGTAATTCCATGACTGCTTTTTTGTGGCGAAAGCTAGCATATATAGATCTGTGGCCAAGTTGGATGGAATACCCGATCTTTTTTAATCATTTTGTTATGTAATTCTAGAAATAACAGTCAAATATGTACATGCATCCAGACATGTAGGAGTTAACGAAAAAATGTTTATGTATCTCTCCAGTTTTTAATACAAGGAAGGCATCAATCACTCAAAAGAGAATTGATGTTGCATTCTCTGTTGTACAAAATTAGGGATGCACTGAGAACTATTTTTTTCAAAGGTTCCCTTATACTCAAAATTAATTTTCCAAGAAATTAACGCATCACAGTTGTGCAACCTATTTAGTTTTTTGTGTTTAAACTGTTGCAAGTTGGTGCATTCACGTATTTTCAGAAGATTAGATTACTTAAATATACAGTAGCGGACAAAAGATTTTTATTACAAAATTAAATACAATAACTCTACAAAACGATTAAAAAAATACTGTTTAGCTAATGTTTGGTAACATAGCTTTTAGCATTCAATCTTGCCTAACATCTGCTGCTCATAGAAGACACCATTTTTTTACAGACGTCTGTTGGGATATTTTGGATAAATCAGGAATACAAAAAAGCATGTACTGGTAACGGCATTGCGCAGGGAGTGCAGAGTCAACCTACTTGACGCTTTTTTTTTATTGAATAAACTACGCCTAACAACTTTTAAAATAAATGTTACACTTCGTTAAATACAGTTTCTTGGATACGACTTTGAATGGCGAGCTTTAGATAGCCATTATTTATATAAAATTATAACAGTAGGAAGAAACAAATTCATCAGTGAATAGCGCAAGTAGGTGATACGCCGTTTGCATTTTGGTGTACTATCGTGCACCGGTAAATGTTTCTGTTTTGATGTGTATAGATTTGTATTGGTTTTTGTGAACGATTTTGTTATAGAACTTATTTGCATATATTTTTATGAAAGGTGGTCAGGTATTCCATCATTTAGCCATTGGTCTATATAGATACAATGTATTGGCAAGGAAAAAGTGAATCAACCTTGACCTTAATTTTTAAAATATTTTCAGAATATACCCACCTTAAAATCTTCATCTCAACTCAACATCTTGAACCAACCAACCAACCAAATGGAAAAAAGAAAAAATGTAACGTGGCCCAATAGAGCGACAGTAAAAAAATCTTCTACCACCCACCCAACTCCGATCTCCCAATCCCCGTTCAACACCAGTTACCACGGTCAACTCGACAACCAATTCAACGCTCAACACCTCATCTCCATACCGCACCACAACAACCACCAATCAGCGCTGCGCTGTACCGGCAATCAGCCAATCAGGGACAACCGACCACCCACAACCACCTTGAGCAGCCCACTATGACTGGGGCGCAACTTATCAACAGTTTTTCTTCGTTCAAAGCTTCTCTTCTTGCACACTATTGCAACCCTCGCTCGCCACTTCTCTACTATCTTCTAATACTACGTCGTCCGTCGACAAAGATATAGAATGGTGGGATATTATATTTAAGACTTATCCGTTTTTGCAATCTGTGTACTTGGACATTGACTAGAGCAATGCCCTAAGTTTTCTGGTCATTTGTACAACTTATATTATCATGGTACAACGTTACTTAATTACTACATTTACATACAGGGTGTTTCAGAAAGGCGTGGCTATATTTTTGGGGTACATTCAAAAATAACAAAAAAGTTGAAATTGAAAATAATGGGTAATGATACCGACTCAAGATTTTAGACGTTTAGTGAGCACATCATGAGCAATAAACACACCGAGTTTCCCGGCGCTTAAACTGAACCAGGGACGTGGAAACTGTGTTACCTGGAATATTTTCCTTTTCGGAGAAAAGAAGTGCAGTTTATTTAATACCATCCAATTTTCTATAAATCTTGTTTTTTAAGGAAGTTTTGTTTAACGACGTGAAGCTTGGCATTGGAATCAATATACAGGGTGTTTCAGAACTAAGGGATCAAACTTCCAGGGGTTATGCAGTGTAACAGTAGAAAACATATGAGTATATGGACACATATCCGGAAAAGTGTCACTATGGCGCTACGGCCTTAAGACGCGTTAAAATTTAGAATGACAGTGAATTGCCTAAATAAGATTCAATGCATTTAATGTTTGCTCCAATCTGAATACTCCGATTTAAACGTCGCACATGATTTCGGGGGACTTGACTAAAAATTTGATACTCGTTTTGAATGATTTCAAATGCTGTAATTCGTCCAATTAAGTCTTGCTCTGTTTCTGCTGGAGTTTCGTAAACCAAAGACTTTGCATGCCTACACAGGAAAAAATCTAGCGACGTTAAATCGGGTGACCTAGGAGGCCAAGAAACTGCTCCACCTCTGGCAATCCAATGGTGCCCAAACTGCTGAGCACGACTAAGGCGATATGGAATGCAGCTACAAAAAACAATCTGTTACCGTTGTTAAAGATAATACACAGAAGTGCCGGATATGGGTTCCTATACTCAAATGTTTTCTACTGTTACACTGAATAACCCCTACAAGTTTCACCCCATAGTTCTGAAACACGCTGTATATGTTTATTATGATGTGCTCACTGAACGTCCAAAATCTTAACTGAATATTCTTACCTGCTCTTTTTTTTGAATTTCGTAAATGAAACTTCATCACCCTGTATCTCGGTGGGGGCATCTTTGAGCCGATATTTATGGGAACTTTTTTTTGTTATTTTTGGATGTACTTTATGCCCTAAAAATGTTGACACGTCTATGTGAAACACCCTGTATACTCGTCAGAGTGATTTAGCATAAATCGTTTAATTTACATGCCATAAGCCTTTTGGGGTGTACAGTCTGCTGAAACCAAAAGTTCACCAATTTCTCTTGAAAAACAAGGTTGAAATCGCTTTAAAATAAACTAATCTCAAAATACTCGGAAGCTCTTGTAGAGCAAGGTTTTAACTTCAATTTAGATACTTGGCGATAGTGTTCGACCAACCTTTCGGTTTCGAACCTTTTCAGAATTTTGGGTGAGTTTGGGTTTCGGCAGAAAATCCGCCAAACCTGCAAACGAAACCGAGACTAAGTTCGTATGTTTTTTCACTTACAAATCATTGAGGAATTCCAGTTCAGACTCGTTTTCAGGCAGAATATCCAAAACTGTTTTTACAAACTAAATGTCAGTGACTAATCTCTTGGAAATAGTTTTTGTTATTTCAACTTAAGGGTACACAAATCATCGTTTAAAATAACATCATGGCCATAAAATCCATTTTTGAAAACTAAAAATGAATTAGGATACAACTCCAAAAATTGATGGTATGAATTAAACACAGTTTAAAAAATTTCAAAAGGGGTTTAAGACTTGTACAATAAAAATCTTCAAATTAAACTAGACTTCCGTCTAAACTAACGTTAAATAGTATTGGTGGTGCAACAGGCAGTAAGTTGTTATTGTCGTTTTATTGTTTCTTTTAGAAATAAAAAATTGTTTTTTGTGATTTAATTTTCTTTGACTAAGTCTTGATAATATTTGATAACGATTGATTATTACATATTTTATAGTTTGTTTTTCTATTTAATAATAAACTGCTATTAATATTTCTATAATAAATTACATTTTTTGCCCGGGCAAATTTTTTTCTGTTTTTTTTTATCATTCCGAACAAGAAAGGCTCCCATTAACTTCTCTAATGGTGACCATTTTCGAATTATAAGCGATTTAATGTCTGAAAAGTCCTAAAAAATGGGTGTATTCATGGTTTAAAAATCATAATTTTTGAGGTCGCCAAGTATTTAAATGAAAGTTTGTGAGATTACTTTATTTTATAGCGTGCCGATCGATTTATTTGGTAATCTTGAAATACTAGAAAAACCAAAGCTGCCGAAATTCGAGAACAAAACTTATCGTTAAAGGTCTTGCTGATATTTTATCAAACGTGTTTACAATGAACGGTTTTTCAAATTGATAATATCACGACAAAGTAGAAAAAAAAAAACGAGTAGTTTGCTTCTATTTTTCAAGAATGATCCAGTGTATCCTTGTTTTTCTGCTTGTGTTGGCGCTAAATTTTGTTTGAATTTTAGATGGCAGTTTTTGCGTCTTTCTAGATCATGGAATATATTTTATGAACAAAAATTGTTTTTTTAAACCTCACTGCATACAAAAATTATATAAATTTAGGAACATTGGTATGACATAGCTTGTGGTGGCCCAGACTGTGTTAGTAGTGTTTTTTTACATGATAAATTGTTGTACAAAGTTGATCAATAAAACCTGTGTGGGGATATGGCCTAGTTGCTGTTCTACATTATCGTTTGAGACAAGAATGATTCAAACCTAATCCCACAACGTTAGATTTTTGTGTACATATACAATTATGATACTTATTTCAATCCATAATATCAAGTGTTATGTACAGTTTGGTAATTCATCTTAGCATATATTTTCAATTTATCTAGACCGCGGGCTTTGATTTATTATTTTTATAACAGTTGGTCACTTCATAAGTACCTGAGTCAAAGTTAGTAACAGTTCTTAGAAAAATATGCAGCACCTTATTGTTGAATTTAATAATCTAGTGAGATGCTGAATATTGACTTGTGTTTGTTGATTTTAGATGAATTTAAATTGTTACATAATCCAGTAGCTTGAATGTCTCGATCGTCTAATTGAAGACCACACAAAAATTTAGCTCAGTGGGTTATTTTACAGAAATTAAGTTCTGTGTGACTTGATTAATTCACTTTTAAAAGTTTTTAGCAAATACGTTAGATTGTTTTTAAGGTTGTTCAAATCTATTCGTGAGGTTATCTTAAGTGGAATATTCTAGTAGATTTGGATTCTTTAAATATATAATAGCATAGTAGTTTGAAAAAACGCTTAGCGCATATCTGCTTTCAAATACCACCCACAAGATGAAGTATCTGGTATAGCTCAAACTTGGGAGCAATTAGATTTTCTTTGATACATCGGCGTTTGTAGATCCATTTAAAACTGCTCAATTTTAACCATGAGATTCATCTAATAAAAGAACGTTGAAAGTATCGCGCGATATAATTCATTTTCTCATGACTCGTTTATACAGGGTGGCCGATATGTAACTGAGTTGTTTGTATCTTGAATATTTGTGGAATGAAGTAAAATACGTCCATTTTTTTCATCTGAATCTTTTATTGAAACTTGGAAATTATGTATTATATAATTTTGTATAACTGCAAATGAAAGTCTTTTTTTAAATAGCCCATAATGACGTGCGACGAATACTCAGTTCTTAAGAACGATGTCTGGTAGACGTCTCAGGGCGTTCCACTACACTTTCACGAACTCTCTCGATATTTTCCGGAGTACGAACAGTTCTTTACCTTCTTTAACGTCAAATCGACTTATTATTTAAGTAAAACGTTTTAACAATGCGGACGCTATCGTTCCATGATGAATTGGACACATGTGTTTTGAACAACTACTACAACGCCATCACGCGTGTATCTAAAATGTCGCGCAATTTAAATGAGTTAGTTATATATTGACCACCCTGTATAAGCATAAAACACTGAAAATACGAAATGATAAGCATATTATGGATTCTTGTATGTTATTTTCTCATATTTATACTATAGTATGTCATTTAAGATAATCTCATCAATAATAATAGAAAAACTAGTGAATGATAGTCTTGCTTTCTAATTAGAAGTATGATTCTGTACAGTTTTTATAGCGGTTCTGTTCACACTTTCAGGTCAAGATCTCCACGCAGATCTCGCAGCCCCCGATCCAGATCTCGTTCCAGAGATTCGAGAGGCAGATCGGACTCCAGAGATAGACGATAAGTTCACAGAAAACGGATCAAAAGTCCCTGTTTTTATTTTATAAGTTCTACGTTTGACGGAATGGATATTTGCAACATATTTGATTGACATTTCTTTTATTTTATCCAGTAACACGTGTGCGTGACAGTATTATAAAGATACGGTTATAAGCATCTCAATGGAACTGTAGTTTGAATTCACTGTTTATTATTGATGAAAATCATGATTCACATCAGTCAATTTTGCTGATTTGGATTAAATGATCTATGATTCTATTATTACAAAAATGAATGAATAAGTTTATACTTTTTTAACTTAATTTTCGGATGTACTATTGTGTATACTTTATTTTCTATAATATTTGTGCTATAGAATAGTGTTATACTTTTTCATTGTGAAACCTCAGCGAACAAAATAAATCTTGTTCTTATCAACGTGTTTCAGTGGAAAGGCTATACGTGACTGATGACAATTCTTCAACTTTTCTTTGCCGTAGAATGTTGAAAAAGCATCCCAGAAATGTGTGTGCGTCACATCATATTGATACAGTTGATATTTAGTGTAAAATATACGAGGTCTGTAAATTCAATAATGAGATCGGCAACGTAACGTGCGATCTGGCTATGTTATCCGGTTTCAGTACAAGTTTGAACTCGCTCGAGTCTTTTGGTTGTCCGTATCGGTTTTTTCGTCACAGAGTTTTATCCTATAGTGTTCTAAATCTGAATGACATCAATTTCGAGCAACCGGAAAACTATACCGTTTCGGAAACTAGAAACTCGGCGTTTTACGGACGAGTAAGAACTGTCAAGGTAAGAGGAAGAAATGCGATCAAAAACAGGGGTCAAAGTCCAAAAAACTGGTAGATTTTCGCGTAGTACGAAGACTTTTTTAACTAACGTTTCGTCGTGTATCAACAATCAAACGCCTCAGGATATTGGCCTTTTTTGGGTCTTAAACGTGCTGACGATTTTTGCGTGAGAAAGCCCGGACATCGGACATTTGGAAAGCGTCTTTTTTATTTCTTTATTCCTTTCGTTTCAAAAGTTTCGATTTTTTTAAGTTTCTTGACAAAATGCCGCTTTTCGAGACATGACCCTCTTTGCTGTTGATTTTTTCATACTTCATTTTCGGCTTTATGACGATCGGTCCATCCAATATTGGACCATGCATTGTCCTTTTTTTAGACATAATAAATATTTTTGAATAAATTGCGAAATTCTAAAACTACCTAATAAGCACGATTTGCGCATGCGCGCGTTGCGAACAAACTGAATACGCTTGTCCTATTCTGAGAATTTTCATTGTCCATGAAATATTCCTTTAATTTTCTTTTAAATATCTTTAAATTACAAGTAGACTTTATATCATTATTTAGTTTATTAAATTCAAGTAATCCTTTCTGAAATATTCATTTGCTAGTTATATTACTATTGCAATTTTGTAATTGTGGTAATGATTATTCAATTCTATGTAGTGTTCTAAATGTTCTGGCAAAAGATGATTTTTTATTTTAAATATAAAAATAAGAACCAGATATGATATGAAATTTTTTATATTCAACCACTGCAATTCTTGTAACATAGATTTTATTTTGCACGACTTTTAATTTTGAGAATTCAGCTTCATTGGCAGTGAACAAGATAGTTGAACAATATAGTAAATGCGCTAGAATAATTGTATTATAAACTGTTTTCTTGGAATAGGTACCAAGACTATGAGAAGCCCTATAAAAGTAATTTGTTTGTTTAGCAATTTTTGAAATACATAATGTACATAGTGATCGTCAAACTTTAGTTTACTATCAATATATATACTTAAATATTTAATTGATTTAACATTTTCAAGTATCTCTCCATTTATCCTAACTGATAGTATTTTCTTTTAGGTATTTCCCTATTAGCATACATTTTGTTGTAGAAGTATTCAATTTTAGTTTATTTACATTTAACCAATTTACGATTTTTACCAAGTCAGAATTTAGCATTTTTAAAGCAGTGTCTATATTTTCATCTGATATGTATATTAATGTATCATCCGCAAATATCTGAAGTTTACAATAATCTAAAATATTACAAATGTCATTAATGTATAAAATAAATAGTAGTGGACCTAGTTTACTACCTTGTGGTATACCAACAGAAATATTTTTTGATCTTGATAATGTAGATCCAATTTTGGTTTTATAAAATGATTCTTAATTCAGTGATATTCAGAATAACGAATACGTTTTTTTCATTTTATTCACAATAGGTTGCCATTATTTACTAACAGTAGAGTTCAAATGTAAAATTTCTGATGTAATCACACTAAATACTTCCATTGCACAAATAAAAAAGTCAAGAGGAGTTGAATCCGGAGAACGCGCTGGCCAAGACACTTTTACTTTTGCTGGCAGCAGTGGAGGTGGAGTTCTGTGCTGTGTCTCTAATTTGAAGTATCACATTTGTTGGGGGTGCACTTCAAGAATATCTAGTAAAACAACCAATAAATAATGTACATTAAATGTATTTTTTAACATTAACAACACGTTTAAACTTGTCAGAAACTAAGGAAAATATTCTTTCTTGTATCTTCCCACCCATCTTTTCACATCAGGTCTGAGCTTTCTTGGAATATATTCAGGCAATCTATCGTCCAGCCGCCTGTCGTACGGATTCTGGAACAGCTCGAACGGCCTTAATCTCTTATCCATAAACCTAGACTGATGATCAATCTTATAGATTTTCTCCCAGGCGTAGATTTCGTATGGCAATTGGTATCTTGGACGGTTTGATGTCAAGAACTTGTACTCGCGTTCTAGCCAATTGCTTTTATCATCGTCCGTATAATCAGCTGCTACCTTCTCTTCGTTGCTCAGAAATGGCGTGAGATTAACGCCTAACCTTTCTCGAGGTTCATTCACGTAGAATTTGAGCAGCGTTTTCAAAACTTCCTCATTGAAGCCTAATACTTTTCCGCCGCTAACGCCTTCATACAGCTTCATTTCATCAGTACCCCAGCAAATGTTCCTTTTCGGATTCTCCTTCGCAAAGTGAGTATGAAACAAGATAGTGTTCATTTGGTAGACAAAGAATGACCAGTTTTTGCCATCTGTAATGACAGTTTGAGTGATCATCGGGTAAGTAATGTCATTGAAGCTGTTGAAGCCAAGCATGTTAGCTTGTGCTTGCAGCCACCCAAACGAAGTTACGATTGCTTGCCTGGAGAGGGAGCATTCTTCATCAATGACTTCACCAAAAGTGTTCCTCGCGTGGTGACGTTTGTGATATGACAGTTGGCTGAAGCGATGCGTGTCGCCCGGGAAGTATCCTAGAAATTCAAGAAGTGCTAAGAGTAGTTATAAAGGGTGTCATGGAGCAGTATTCAAACGAGCAACGGACCATGCGCACCACGAACTTGATGCGGATTTCTCGGAGGAAATCATTTTCTCTGATGAGGCACATTTTCAACTGAACGGGTACGTCAATAAGCAGAACTGCTGAATTTGGGGTTGTGAAAACCCTCGTGTAATAATCGAACAAATGCATCCGCGGCGAGTTACCGTTTCTAAATAAAAGAGCTTTTAGCAAGAACAAAATGAATCTGTAGCGTACAAAAAAAAAACAAAACAAAATACGGCTCTGACTACCTGACGTTGACGGATCCGTCAGAATTATGTCATTTGCCATTATGGGGAATTTTGAAATATCACTAGATAACCAGCTGTCATTTACCATGATGGATATTCGTGAAATAGGGTGCAATCAGATGTATAACTCTTAATACAAAAGGTGTTAGCATTTGATACGACGACAGGTTTTAAAATCTCACAATGAATGTTGGTATTAACATTCTTCTTATTCATTAATAAAGATCATGGTTAAAAGGTACTAAAGTGAATCTGATCAGACAAAATAAAGAGTTCTGTCACTGCAACCTATACTATACCTGGAACATTCACAATACGTCTATTCTGTTCTGTTTTCGTACCAACTACTCTAGGATCATACTGCCATTCTGGAAGCTCCATATTTATACCATCAACATCACTATCTGCTGCCACTGTTGGTAAAGGAAGCTGGGATCTCAGAGTTAGGATTGGTAAACCTGTAACAGTTCTCGATTATATTTTACGAAATTTTTATGAATATTTGTGACAAATATGTTTTTATTTTAAGGGTAAACATATTAACTAAATCATGATTTTACCATTACAGGTTATTTAATTGTGACTATGTGTTTTTTTGGTTAGTTTTAGGTTAGGTTATTTTACTTCTGGCAAGGGTTGAGTGGAAGAATACGTCTAGGTGAACTCTGACTTGATGTTTTCCCAATATCATTATTTTCTTTCTGATGCGTGTTTATAATGGGAAAATAAAGACCATTAATGATGTTTCAATATCGGAATCAAAGGTAGGGGTTTACATTTCAAAGTTGACCTTCAAATAACTTTCAAGGTCAAAGTCAAGGTAAATTCAAGGTCATAGAGTGGTAGTGGAAAATCCTACAACTTTTATTAGAAGCACAGCTGTGACAAAATCGCATAGATGGCGCTAGAGTATCTCATTTTATCTCGGATACTTGATAGCATTATATTCATCAGGTAGAATATGTTAATACTTTGAATCGATATAGTGTCAGTGATTAAATCTACTAGACCAAAAACGAAAACTGTATTATAATAATATACCTATGAATGCCATAAGCCGATCAGTTGGATCATCCTTGTACTCCTTGGTCCAATCCCTGCCTTCTCTATACCTCTTTATGTTATCTGGTGGGTTCATACCACCTGCATACCACGTGGATTCGATTCTCGGTTCAAAATCAAACTGCAAGTGAATAAAGATTATAACGATAGTAAAAAATGATTGACATTCTTTTATATTGGTATAGCTTCTAATCTTCATTAAAAATATATTCAGGGTGTTCCTAGAGCAATAACGTAGTTATCGATTTGATGTGAACATTTTCAAGATCTTAATGATGTTCCGCGAGTGTACTCACACGTCGCCATGGTCCTCGATGTTTCTTTCCATCAGAGCTGCATATGTTTGCTTATATTGTGCAAAAGCCGTCTGGTTTAACACAGCTGAAGACCTAGACATCCACAAATTTTGCAAATTTAGGAAGAGTGAGTATATTTTCCGATTTCTTTTTTACGTTTTCGGGGTTGTTTTACCGCAGATTAGCTCTGGTATTGCACACATATGTAGTTGAATTTGAAAAGGAACCCAACTTTCCGGACACCTTATATATTACAACTTTACTAATTATTCATGGTATATTCCTGTAACATTATAATTATTAACTATTACCTGGGTATCTAAAATATGAGGATACTGCTTTGCAAGATTACTCATTATCATTCGGTTGATTGATTTGGTGAGTGCTGATGTGAAATCTTCGCCATCTTCAATACCTAGTATTTTGTCTTTAATCTTTTTTCTGAAATAAATTATAGTCATTATAATGTATGTGTTTGAATGTGTTTCTGGGATGACCACCAATTCATAGTAAATTTTATCTGGTTCGCCTTTTTATCGGAAAATACATGCTAGCCAACAATAAGGATATTTTCGCGAATCACAGATTTTGAAATGGTCTATAAATATTAGATTTTTTTCTAAAGATTTTGACAAAATGCTCCAATTTTGGTTGATCCAAGTTCACGAATTAATTTTGATTACAGTGCGAGCCTTTTGTGTTTGCGAACTTGCTAGACTGTGTAGTCCACTGACTCACGCAACAGAGGGTTGCTATGCGATTCTGCTTGGCTATAGCGCCGCTGCGCCTAGTACTTAATGTAGAATGTCTCTGATGTAACTTACCTATATCCTTCAGTCTCGATCAAGATAATCTCTTCTACATCATTCTTAAGCTGAGTAGCTAGACTGCTGACATCTATGTTATCATACAGTTGAGGGAGTTTTTTTTCAGCTTTCAAATGCGTTCTCGTAATATGCTGTGCAAGGGGCAAGTTGTTGTATGGACAGTAGCCCTCATTCACCATGTAGCATTTGAAACCATAATATCTGCGCATGTTCAATTTTATCTGCTTTTCTTCGACTGTTTTCACATTGCGGATTTCATCATGTAACTTTGCTTTTTTACGTTTAAGCTTCTCGCGAAATGAAAGATCTTCTATCGGTGGGTAATGCGGTTTGGAGGTGTACTCATCTTGCTCTGGATTGTGGACTGCTATTGCAAAATAGCGGGCACCGTTCAGTCTCCGACAAACTTTATTGAATCTTGTTAGGCTCATTTTTCAATTATTACTTTGCCGACTGCAGAATTTCGTTTAATTCAGAATTCCATTGCTCACAGTCCGCTCACAATCATAAACCTTAACCTTAACCTAAAATTTACGACTGACAGTGACAGACGCTCTGACAGCGACAGTGTCGGATCCCGACAGAGTTGCCAGAAGGGTCAGACTATTTGATAAATAAATAATTTTTCAATTATATGCATGTATAGTTTCATTTAGACAGCGTAGAGCAGGTTAACAGGTACACCAAAATATCCCATTCAAAATTTTGAGAAATAATTTTATCTTTTTTTTTATACTCCAACTACCACGAAGGCCTAAGGCCTAAGCACCCATTGGGTACCGTGGGGCTATAGGGGGATACATGGGAAAGGGGGGACGCCACACAGACTCTGGCGAGGGAACACGTGTGCATGCAACATGCACACATTCTGGCTCCGCCTACGAGAACCGCCTGGTGGTACCTCCGCGTTCGACAGTCAGAGACCATCTACCACCTACAGACAATCACAACATCCATAGCCAAGAGAAAAATTTCTCCTGGGACGGGACTCGAACCCGCACAGCGCACGGCGACTGATCAGGAAACCGAACAGTCTACTACTGCGGCCACCGCTGCTGCCTAAAACAAACACACAACATCCATGGTGAAGGCGAGATTCGAACTCGCGGCCCGGCCGGCCGGCTGATCAGTAGCACGACACTCTGACAGACGCGGCCAACCGAGGTTCTAAACTATAACTATCTAAAACTGTAATGACTCATCGATGTTCACGTGAACATCACTTAACTACCAGTAGTCGGCTGTTCATAGGCGGGGTATGAATGTTTAACATGGGTGAACTAGATTTGTCACATGCTTAATAAACAGTGGTTTGAAACATATTGTAAGTCAAAAATTTGGGAATTACTTTTATTCATCGTCGCTTCCACTTACATCTGACAGTAATAAACTGTCGCTATCGCTTTCCTCGTTGAAATTGACTATAACTGGCTCTATGATGGTGTCGATGTGGTGGTCAAGCTGCCACATTTTTGTTTCTTCCTTCACAACATGACGGATAGCATTCTGCCAAGCTTCGGGCGTTACTACCTGTATGGAAGTCTCAAGTAAAACCTTAACGTCTGGTAATTTGAAAGTTGTGTTATGGCGCGCAATATAACCCTTCACTTGAACCCAGATGAGCTCTATTGGGTTCAGTTCACAGTGGTAGGGCGGTAACCGCAGCACAGTGACACCACATTGACGGGCCATCTCATCAGTCACGTAACTAATGTTCGCAGGTTTGTGCTGTTCAATTTTTTCATACAATTCCGCTTTCACACATGATTCGTCAAACGGGATTCCTTTTTCGCGCAACCATTGCTGCATGTCACTTTTTCGAGATCCCATAGTCAGTACACGTTCGACTCGACGACTATGGTAGGAAGCATTATCCATGACGATCACAGAGTTGGGCTCAACTCGCTGAAGCACCCCTTGAAACCAGCTCTCGAAGCAGCTGGCATTCATTTCGTCATGGTAATCACCTCCTTTCTTAGAGACGAAAATCAAGTCACACTCTTCTAAAAAGCCACTATCGCTACCAATATGAGTTACGATCAATCTTTGACCTTTCCCTGACGGTCCACGAAGACCTGTTGACAAACCTTCAATGCTTGCTTGTCGGTTACTCACTACGTTTTTGTCTATCCAGGTTTTTTAACTGTGTGACCTGCATTTACCCATGTCTCGTCCAAATAATAGATTTTTCTGCTTTGTCGCCTATATTCCATCATTTCGCGTAGGTATTTTCGACGCCAGGCGACTATTTCAGGTCTCTCTATCAATACTGACTTCCGATTACGCGTTTCGTAACGAAAAGTAATTTCGTGCAGGGATTTCCTCATTACCTCGACGCTCATTTGGGGTATAATTTCATTTTCCTTGATCGCTGCATGTACAGCCTTGAGGGTTGGTATCTCATTCCTAAAGAAGAATGAATGTACGGTTCGCCTTAACGCCATTTTGCTATCGTCATCCAATTTAACGGCCTTTCGTCCCTTCAAATTAAACTTTGGATCAGTAGTAGCTCCAGTTTTCTTCTGCGAATGGTCCACTCTGGAACGCCTGTCATACTTTCACAACGCGCGAGTGGATCTCCCTGCGACATAGTTCTGTTCAGATAATTGAACACGTTGAGCACGATTTCTTTTGCGTCCCTCTTCAGTGCTCTACGAAGCCGTCTACTTGTTCCCTGGCTTTCAGTACTTCCACTCGTGCCATTTGTACTCTCCATGGTTAAGTAGAACCAAAACAGTAACCACAGAAACCACAACAATAACAATCACACAACAATTCTTATAAAAACACACAATATGCGATCGCTCAACGAAACACGTTCCAATGCGTTGCCGACGCCTATGAGTCTGCCGGTCGAGGCGCGTCTTTGATTTCATTGGTTCTACCGGCGGAGAACAATCAGCCATTATTTCCATCTCTGTCTGTGCTGTTGACCACCGCAAAGCCACAGAAACGACATATGTCGTACGCTGTACGGCTGTACTGGAAGGAAGCCGGGATCGAGGTCTGATCACGTGTTGATCACGCGTATGAGTCATTACAGTTTTAAATAGTTGTAGTATACAAAAGGTGTTAAAATTTCAAATCATGGCCAATTTTAAAAACATGATATTACACACTATTCAAATGGGGGTATTACTAGGTATTACGTAAAAGATGTCATCAAAAATCGAGATGTCAACTTTTAACTATCCTCAGTAGACGTGAAAGCGTGATGGATGCTCATGAAATAGGGTATAGCTGCAGGTCTCATGCTGCATAGCCTCCAAAACACGATCTAGGCCTGATTTCTTTTCTTGAACTTGTAACCTGCCTATACTTATCGTTCAGTACTACCTGACTACATCAGACTCATAAGTGTCCTTCCTTACTTCATGAACATATAGTTTTTGTGCTGCAGATCTATGGATCAACCTTAACCCTTTTCTTTATCTTAATCCAGATACAATTATCATTTTAGGAACTCACTCATACAACATGCAATCGCCAACTCGAGTAACTTAGACTAATCACACTACACTCAGCATTCCCATTTATTAAAACTTTCAGCTATCCGATTTACCAATACTCAATGCTTATGTCAAAAATCAAGCTGTTTAAGCCAAATAGATGATCTGCTAGGCATCTATCCGACATCTCTAATTCGACGTTGTTTGGGTGGAGCGGCTTATATATGTTTTTTAAAACATTTCCGATTAAATGTCTACCCGCATGTTTCGCAAAACTTTTTTGTGTATGTCCCGTCACACGTTCCGTCGGACATTGCTTCGTTTCACGTCTCGTTTCACACGTCGCGTCGGTTTACGTTCACGACAACGCGCGCGTTTCTTTTGAAACTACTGCGATCACTAGGGAACTCCGTAAGTGCCAACTCAATTTCTACAGGCTACTTTTCGACAAAATACATTTGATTCCGGAACGCACGGAATCAAAACTCACTTAGGCCGGTAGAACGAGTGAGCTCTATCCCGCTTCTGATGTTATAGACCGAAAAATACGCAACTAACAATTCAAGTTGCAGGAAATAACAATAAATACAAAACAAAACAGATGCCTTGGATACATCCCCAAATATCCTAACCATAACCGTTAATATACTCAGTGACATTAGAAGTGTTACACCCAAAAAAAGTAATTTCTTCAACTTGATTTTTTGGCAATGAGGTAGTCTTACATCAAGAATGAAACGATAACATTCACACGAAATTTTATTGACAAGTAATGAGAAAAAAATTAATAATGTGTTGTACGACCCAGAAGCTGAATACACTCCTGTATACGTCTAGGCATCGAGAAAATGAGATGATCATTGTGCCACCTCATTCCAAGCAACTCGACCTTTGTGGATCAGCTGGCAAAGTCTGTGGCGGATGGTGCAAAGTGGATACTCTCCTCCCCATTATATACCACACATGTTCGATGGGATTTAAATCCGCGGCAAAATATTAACGCCTGCTGGACGGCTCTCTAGATAAGGCAGTAAAGTGTTTTGTAGGACATCATCAAACGCTATTAATTGTCGCGATTTATTCCTTGGTAAGCTAAGAGATTTACTCGTTTATAACGGTTAGTCTATCGACTATCAGGAAGATTTCTCGCGAAATGAAATCTGTTGAAGAAGATGCTCCGACATCTTTTTGACACCAAACAAAAAAAGACGGAGAGCCACTCTGAAATCTGATTTCGACGACTTTGATAGAGGATTGCTTCGTCGATCTACAATGAATTTTTACACGGAAAAGAAGGTTCCAACTTTGCGGCGCATACAGCAAATTTGTTCAAGAACACAAGTGATGAGAACAATGGGATTTCGTTGGAGGAAGGCAAGAACTAATAGAAGACTCCTTACGGAGAAACCAGAGATTCAGCATCTCAGGACAAATTTTCTGAGAAGGATGAAAGAATATAGATGAAAAAATCGTCCTATAATTTATATGGACGAAAAATACATCCATACGTCACATTCGCATGAAAAGTGTTGGTGCGATAATACCAATAAGGGCCTTCACAGGCCAGTTTCAAAAGAACAAAGATTTATTATTGTGCATGCTGGTAGTGAAAATGGTTTCGTGGAAAATGCGTATCTGAAATTCAAATCCAATAGTAAGTCGGGTGATTAACAAAGTGAGATGAACTATAGTAAGTATAAAAAATGGCTTCAGGATAAACTGATTCCCAACCTACCACCAAATAGTGCTTTGGTTATAATAGACAACGCTCCATAGCATAATGTTCAGATAGACAAATGTCCTACTATGTGCCTTAAGAAGGATCATAATATACAGGGTGTCCCAGAAGTCGACGTCAAGCCGAAACCGGGTGATAGGCAAAGTCATAACAGCTATCAGAAAAATATTTAAAAAAATTTATGTATGTGTTTTGAAAATTATAGGTCTTTGAAAAAGATATAGAAATTTCACACCCTACGGCAGTGTGTCAACTCCTGTTACTACAAATATTACCTTTTTTTGGATTTTATTTTTACAATGTAATGATGAATAATGCATCTTCAAACTGGTGTCTCAACCTAACTGCCAACTTTTCTCGTTCAGGAAAAATTGCCACTTATTTCCCAA